AGATAGATAGATAGATAGATGAGTAGAAGAATTTCTCATGCAATTTATCACAGCTCTCAGACAGGAGCCATCATGCAGGACTAATACGAACCCCTCTCTGAGGAAGTCTCTCGGGAGCCCATAATAAGCCATTAAACAGGCGCATTAGGAGTAATGAAAAGGCTCTTAGTGGTTTACCACTGTGGGCCACCTGGATTTCTCTCTGTGGAAGTGGGCGGCGGCTGTGATCGTCTGATGGCTGCAGGACGAGGGGAGGAAAAACAGTGGCGATAAATATGATGATGTTTGCATATCACCCGCTATTTTCAGTTAGACCTTCCGAATACGATTCTCTTTGTTCCACTATAAACTTGACCATAGCTGATTATATGTTTAATACGACTTTAAATGGAGATTTAAGTGAAAGTTTTGTACCTGATTTGCTTTAAACGTTTTTATAAGGCATAGGGTTATTCTTATTTAACCTAATGTCATGTGAAGACGGTAAGAAACAGAAAATCTTAAATTTCTTTAAATCAAACTCAATTGAATTTCATCACTTTGATAAAAAATATATGGTTATACCGTTTTTAAACATCTCAACTAGCCTACATGAGTCCAAAGCGTCAGTCATTCTGTGCCAAAGACTTGTCATCTCATTATATCAGAAGCTCTTGCCTTTTCGATTTCCTGCTTCAGTGGACACTCGTCTGTTTTGGTAGATTTTGTCTTTACTGCCAAAATCACTGGAACGAATCAGTCAAATCATCAACAACTGAGCAAGTCACACTGCCGATGAAGGCCACGAGTTGTGGCTGAAAACTAAAGGAACACCAAGTTAGTGGAGGATTTTTTTTTTTATTTTATTATTTTTGCCAAATTGTTGTGTCCAATATCAAGAAAGAACCTTCAAATGCAATAGAAAAAAAAGAAAAGATTAATGTCGCTTTGATAAGAATAGAAATGTCTATTTGGGGTGGATTGTCACGCTATCCATGGTGCTGAAATCAAGAACAGGCTCTGAAGTGTTTGGCTGCAAAACCATTTGCACAAAAGTGTTGAGCGCAGACATAACCTAGTCCATAACGAAGGCAGCGCGCTATACCTGCGATTGTGATGCAAATGTTAATGGACTCTGAGGTCCTCTGATTAGCCTGATGTGGGCTAATTTCCCTCCTCTGCAGTCCCCAGAGAGCCCAGAGTGCCTTTTCACTGTCCCTTATTAATCGAGGAGCGTTGGGTGGGATTTGCTGCCTCGCTGGTTTGGCAGATAGACACAGCAGACAGACAATCATGGCTTAAACGACAGGATGAATGCCTCGGTTTTCTGTACTCAGACATATGAGATCTCTTGGGCTGTGAAATCTTCTCAGCATATACGTGATAGTTTGGAGAGTTCGCACCTCTTCTCTCTCTCTCTCTCTCACACACACACACACACACACACACACACACACTTGGCTCAATCTGGGTCGTGCGTCAAACGATTCATGTAACACACTCTCTCTCTCTCTCTCTCTCTCTCTCTCTCACACACACACACACACGCACACACACACACACACACACATTATCATTACCACAGAAAACATTTAATGGATGAGGTAATGATAGCCTACAAGGAAGGGCATTGTAGACTTACATAATTGCGGTCAACGATGCCATGGAAACATAAAAGCCAGTTTTTTATACTGCTCGGTATAGTGTAATATAAGTCTTTGCTTCGCATTGCAGCAGCTGTGAAAATATCAAAAGGTCTTTTCTGAACTTTATTTTTAATTTTCATATGATAACCTATATATAGGTGGTATTCACAAAAAGCAGGTCGCAGTTTCTCCGGGTGTGAGGATCTGTTCTCAAAATGCTTTTTTTCCTAGGGGAAATTGCCCCCCAATAATCACGAAAATTAGGCTTTTATTTTTGTGATTCGAGGGAAAGGTGGGGGGCTGGATTGGTGTCGGCGGAGGGGAGGTGGCGGTGGGGTGTTACATTGGGCGGAGAACCTTGTGCCAGCTCACCCATGTGTGTAATGTGAAAAAGGAGAGCCGCGGGTGAAATAGTGTGGAGGCAGTGGAGGAGGAGGGGGTGGGGCTGGGGTGTGTGTGTGTGGGAGGGGGGGGGGGCACAGGGGGAAATGGATTTGAGGACGCAGTGAGATCACAAAGCCGTTTTTGGATTTTGATGATCGTCCCTGCCTTTTGTTGGTTGGTCGAACATGGAGTGTGTAAAGCCAGACACAGATAAAGAGCTTTGATCGGTCATATCTGTATCGACACAGATGAGGATCCTCCTGGGACACGGTACCCCCCACCCCCCACCACCAACCCATCTCTCCGACGACTCTCAGGATGGGTGATAAACTGCGAAAATCCCTTTGCCCTCTCTACAGATAAAGGAAAACCATGCAGCTCCCACTGTGGTCAAACGTGCAAAATCAGTCATTAATGAATAAGTACTGAGTATATATATATGGAAAGAGTCCATCGCCACTGAAACCTCCAAACGTGTGGGTTCCAGCAGTGTAAGATACCATTTCATAATAATATAGGCCGAAACGACGTGAAGAGGCCTTTCAGGAGGACGTTTAATGTCATGTGTTGTCCTCGTGCACAAGACCACATGCGCGTGCACGTGTTGGATTCATCATATGATCACAGTAGGCCCAAATCTTATAGCAAAATCAGCCTGAATACCTACACATTTATGACATACAAAATATTTTCCATTCTTCTTCTTACTATTATTATTATCTGTACAGCGGGTCGTGAGAGGGTCTGCAGCCTGTGTAACCTGCTGGCTGGTGGTGTCAGGGCTGCTCTTTTCATCTTGCTGCAGACTCCATCAGACAGCGCAGAGCGCAGATCAGAGGAGGGCTGCAGCCCGTTGATAACAGCCTCTGTCATTAACTCTTTCATTCAGGGAGGGAGAAAGCAGCCATTTTCGTTCCCACAACCGAACATTAAAACAAACACACACACACCCACTCAAGACGCACGAAGCAGGAGCGATTCGTGTGCCTCGTGCTTTACTATTCAAATGCAGCTGTTTAAATCAAGCTTGAGATCTAACAGATGCTCAGGCCCGGTAGAGCTCGGCCTGCACGCTCCATGTGAACCTGTCGGTGAAATCACCGCATCATAGTGCAGCCTGGTTTCATCCAGGAAACAGCTTCAGATCAAATTCTGTTTAAAAAAAGAGAAAAGAAATCGAACAATGAAGCAAAAAAAAAAGAATCTTTTCTCGTCTGTTCTTTGTCTGCGCTGAAGGATGAAATGCTCTTTTCGGCAACACAGGGGTTAATTGTTCGACTTTCAAAAGTCAGGATTTCTGAAAAAATATTTCTATATAAAATACAGACAGGTGGATGAAGAGGCAGCAACGTCACTAACAGATAGTGACGTCGCTGCTTCTTCATCCACTTTTAATCTGTGGCGCAGATCAACACCTCTCATTCTCATCTGAGTGATACATACAACATCATGTTGTGATGAGAAGTTGGAGATGTCAGTTTACTCTTCTGTTATTCCGCTCCATCACTGCTCTCATCAGGTTACAGTCTATTATATATTAAAGAAACCAGGTTGAGAGCATTTAATAGGAAATATTGTTTTGTTTTTCTCAGTTGTAAAGCAAATATCCTGGGTGTGTACAGCAACAGGCCGTGTTACAGTAGCCTTTACTGTATGTATGTTAGCTCAGGCTTTTGTAGTGTAGAGATCTAGGCCGCGGCTTAGTATCACGATGAACTCTGATACTGCAGCCTGTGGAAACAGAGAACATGGTAGAAGCAAAGTGCTACTGACAAGGCAATGTCAACAAACTGTTTACAGCACTTTAGGCCTCCGTTGCTAAAATCCCTTCATGAAAAAAAGTGTCACTGCAATTAAAGCTTATTATGATTTTTTTTAACTGAGTCAACAAGTCCAACAAGCGCGATGTTACACTGTGCTTCAGCCTGGGTGTTTTTTTTTTTGTTTTGTTTTTTCATTATCATTTTTTAAAGTTGTTTAGTTTCTATGAAGCAGGAAAGTCAAGTCTACTTCCTGTATATTTAGGGATTGATTTATTTGATCGGTTAAAAAAGCTAATGTATTCTTCCAAGGAATAAAAATTAATGCATTCTCACTCCAGACCAAATTAACACATTCTCTGTCAACGTTTCTTTTCAAATTGGCTGGCTTGGATGTTTAATGAACAAATCTCGTATCATATATAGACTAGACTACATTTTTCTCAACGGAAACATCTCCATGGCTCAGGCTGTCACATCATCTTAACAGACAGTCACTACGTGAATGGATGAGTGAATGAATGAGCATCCTGAATGAAAACTTCAGCCTGAAAACGGAGTCGGTGGAATAGAAGTGGATCGAAATTTACGAATCAAATTATAAAAAATAATAATAGGCTACATTGTGCAAAAGTAGGCTACATTTGAAAAAAAAACTATATGCGGCTTCCAACTCTAAATCTTACCATAATTTAGCAAAGACAAAATACACGATTTTTTTTTCTTCATCACCAACAAACCCATCACGTTTTTTTTTTAAATCCGTGTAATCCCAAACAATTTGGGTTACTATTCTGATGCTCCATGTCCGCTTCTCCTTAAAAAGAAATGAAAATGGCGCAAAACTTGATAAAAAAAAAATACAAATCCTAGTTTTTGTTTGTTATTAATCTGGTCCAAAGAGTTGGGATTTTCGGGCGAATTCCAGGCTCCTTTTATACGCGTAAAGTTATGCAAGATCTGAGGCCCCCGGAATGTCATTGGATGTTCGGATGAGATATTATAGATTATGGGTTTGGAAAGGGATGGTGGGGGTACTGCAAGCACCTCCCCTAGAAATGCAGCAAATCTCTCCCGTTTTCTCCTGGTGGGGCACTGGGAGGGCTGGAGACGTGCTTTGCATTGGCAGGCTGATGAGGACACGTGTCTCCTCCCTGCCTCTCTCTCTCCCCCCCCCAACCCCCCGGGCTCCACGGTACCGCATTGGCATCAGTAAAGGCACCTGAAAACCGACAACCAACTCCTGGAAACGGTGCCTGCCACCTTATAACCCAAAAGAAAGCGATATTATAGGCCTTACAGAAACCTGTGGCTGGCCCTTCGTCGTGCGTAAAGCTCTTGCGCACACCGCTGAACTGCCTCAGAGACTGAATAGGTGCGCTACTAGTCGAGCATCAGAGCGCAGTGCCAAGATGCAGAAACGGAGCAGCGACGTCTGAAGGTGACATGAACCTGTGGATAATCAAGAGCAGCAGGCGTACACTGAACCAGAAGTGGAGATAGCAACTGAAAACCACCGGTGTCTTGAAACAAAACTTGCGCTTTTTCCTCGTGGCTTTATCTAATGCAGAGAATCAAGAGCTGCAACCCAAAGTAGCCTCAAATTTCTAGTGACTGAAGGACAAAAACACTAATTACGCTGCAGACATTTGACGGGAGAGGAGCAAAAAATGGCGACGTTAATCAGAAGCAAGCTTTCTAATAAACTGTCAAACGCAGCCACGACTGTGTCCAACAAATCCCAGGCGAAGGTGAGCGGGATGTTCGCCAGGATGGGGTTCCAGGCCGCCACCGACGAGGAGGCTCTGGGCTTCGCCGCCTGCGATGACCTGGACTACGACCACCGGCAAGGCATGCAGATGGACATTTTGTCATCCGATGAGATAGGAGGAGAGGGGAGCGCAGACGGAGGTGCGCTGGAGGGGGACAGCCACTACCAGAGGGACGGCACCGGCCCCCCGCACTCAGCCTCAAAGGACGGAGATCCGACGAACGAGTTGTCTGAAGTCAGACCAAAAATCACCGCTTGGGAGGCGGGCTGGAACGTCACGAATGCGATCCAGGTAAAAAGGCACTTCGTGGATTGTGAACGGGCGGTTCCGGTGCTCGGTTCTAATTGGCTGAGCCGCCTCCGGAGCAGCTGTGAAATTCGAGATACAAGCACACCTGCGAAGGCATAAAGGGTTCATTAAAATTCGCGACAGGAACTTTGCCAAGTTATTTTTAATAATGGTAAAACAGACATGGCTGCTAAACTATTCAGACTAATTGGGCTATTTGTGGTTGGGATATAGAAGTCTCTTGAACATTCAACTCTTTCTTGGTAAAGTCATATTTTCGTGCATTTTATATAGGAGCACTGCAGAGATGTTAGAACAGCCAAGGCATTACGATGTGCTGAAAAAGGGAGGTAGTTGGTTCCATGCCCCCCCACCCCCACCCCCACCTTCCTCCCCTTCAACACACACACATTCTTTGTCTGTATAGTGATGCACAGTGCCACCGATGCACGTCCCTCATAACTCTTCAACTAATAGGCATTGAATAAATGAAGGAAAAATATATTCTGTCCTTTGGGTTTACAGAAAGCCAAAGCTAAATTTTTATCCATCTTGTTGGATTAATTTTGGGGGGTCTTTAAAGGCAAATAAATTAATTGCAGCTGAAACATAGGTAGATTAATTGATGTATGAAAATGGGCAAAGATGTATGGAGATAAATGTTTAGCTATCTAACAGGCCTATGTTACAAAGTGCAATGAGTCGCATATGTTTCAATAGATAGATACGCTATGAGAAGCAGAAAATATGTATTTTTATATATACAACTACAACACGAAGAGCCATGTGTGTGATCAGCTATTTGGCCCAGAAATGTAATGAGGTCTAAAGTGCGAGGATCTAGTCCTGAGTGAAATCCGCGTGTGTAGGCTATGCGACAAAAAAAAAAAAAAAAAAAAAAAAATCCCTAGACACAGTCCTTCTGTGCCTTATCACGGCTGCGGTCACGGCAGTCACCATGACGTCAGAGTGTGTCTCCTCCAGCTCGCGGTGACGTCAGAGGCGGGCGGATGCGCTCAAAGCGAAGTGGAAAACCCACAACATGAAAACGGGAGTGAAATCCATTGAAGAGTCAGGCCGACTAAAGTCACAGCCCACATCACACTAACCCAAATAAAAAAATCATTTAGGCCTATATATTCAGAGCAACATTAATGATTCACACTTCATAACCAAACCCAAACTATTTCACTCATTCACAATGTGTTTTTCCCTCATTTTTTATGTTTACAGGGGATGTTTGTTCTTGGGTTGCCCTACGCCATCCTGCACGGAGGATACCTCGGACTCTTTCTCATTATTTTCGCCGCCGTAGTGTGCTGTTACACGGGGAAAATCCTCATTGCCTGTCTGTACGAGGAGGACGAAGACGGGCAGCTCGTCCGTGTGAGGGACTCCTATGTGGACATTGCCAACGCCTGCTGCGCGCCCAGATTCCCGGCTTTAGGTGGCCACGTCGTGAATGTAGCCCAAATCATAGAGCTGGTGATGACTTGCATCCTGTACGTGGTGGTCAGTGGTAATCTCATGTACAACAGCTTCCCCAACATGCCAATTTCCCAGAAGTCGTGGGCCATCATCGCCACCGCCGCACTCCTCCCCTGCGCCTTCCTCAAGAACCTGAAAGCCGTCTCCAAGTTCAGCTTGCTGTGCACGATGGCCCACTTTGTCATCAACGTCCTGGTGATAGCTTACTGCCTATCCAGAGCCAGGGACTGGGCCTGGGAGAAAGTCAAGTTTTACATCGATGTCAAGAAGTTCCCCATCTCCATTGGGATTATCGTTTTCAGCTACACCTCTCAGATCTTCCTGCCGTCTCTGGAGGGGAACATGCAAAGACCGAGCGAGTTCCACTGCATGATGAACTGGACTCACATCGCTGCCTGCATCCTCAAGGGCCTGTTCGCCCTGGTGGCCTACTTGACCTGGGCTGACGAAACCAAGGAGGTCATCACAGACAACCTGCCCCCAACCATCCGAGCTGTCGTCAACCTCTTCCTTGTGGCCAAAGCTTTGCTGTCGTATCCGCTGCCGTTTTTCGCTGCCGTCGAGGTATTAGAGAAAACGTTTTTCCAGGAGGGAGCACGTTCGTACTTTCCAGATTGCTACGGAGGCGATGGACGCCTAAAATCCTGGGGACTCACTCTCCGATGTAGCCTTGTTGTGTTCACTTTGCTCATGGCGATCTATGTGCCACATTTCGCCCTCCTCATGGGTCTCACTGGTAGCCTGACAGGTGCAGGCCTTTGCTTTCTGCTTCCCAGTCTCTTCCACCTCAAGCTTTTATGGAGAAAGCTGCTATGGCACCAGGTTTTCTTTGATGTCGCCATCTTTGTAATAGGAGGTATATGCAGCGTATCTGGTTTCATCCACTCAATGGAGGGGCTCATAGAGGCTTTCAAATATAACATAGAAGAGTAGATGCAAGTCATTGCTGGAACTAGATGTTAACTGCAAATCCCCATTTAGTGAAAAAAAATAATAAATGAATAAAACACACGACTTCCCTGCAAACGCAGCCCCTCTGCTTAATCCATGCGTAAAAAGCGCGCACAAAACACGCAGACATTTTCGCACCCATACAGTCTTGCATCAATTCAGAACAGAATGCGCGCGCACACACGCACACGCACACACACAGAGAGAGGGAAAGAGAGAGAAACAGAACCGGTGGCAGTGATGGAATCTAATGTAATGCATCAACAACACACTATATGGACAATACATGTTGTATAAATATGCGAACAGAAGTACATATACATATTTTCCAGTGGAGTGAACGTTTACAATATTGACCTTAAACAAAATTGCAAAAAGGGCAGTTCGTCTTTTCGTCGCTCTTGTGGTGCTTCCCCACATGAGACTTCACTTCATGTAACGCTCGAGTTTGTGATGGACATTCGACAGCATAATGTGATTTACTGATGATTAAGATAAGTTTATTTAAAAAAGACACTAAAGAAAAGAAATGCCACTTTCTTCTAGGTAATTTGCAATACGATTAATGGGCAAAGTCAAGTAACACAAAGGCAATAACCAGCAGTAGAAACACATGAATGCGTCTAGAAATATTTAAAAGAATAGCAAGATTTCGTTAATAAATGAGGAAACTGGACCTTCCCCGAGCAGTTTAAAACACCGGAAATGCAAAATGTCAGATAGTACACAGCAGCTATACAAACTATGCATTGAATGTATGATATTTCAGACACACAAAACATAATGAAACTGGGAAGTGGAAATTTAAAAAAAGATCATCAAAAATTTCGATTCTTCTGCGTGAAAGTCTTAGGCTAATGCTTTGGTATTTTTCCCCAAAATTTGAAATTAATTTTATTAACCTTTCAATCGGCAATAACAAAATTTACCTCATCTGAAATACATATTTTGGTAAAACGTCCAAGCCCCCACGTCCTGGCCCAAATTTCAGCTACAGATGGGGACCCCAAATTGAAATCCTGCACATTCAATTTTAACATAATTCTTTTCATTGCGTTTGAAAATACATGGCCTGTTCTTAAATTAATTTCAAGACTTCTGTCTCGAAAATTCGGTGTATGAAAATCTAAAAAAATAAAAAAGAGAGATCATTAAAGAGGAAAATGTGCATACAGACATTTTTCATTCTGTGCAATCCAATGGGTCCTGTGGAAATGTTATAAAACCGTATGTGTAGTGTGTTATTGTGGTTTCAAAAAGATGGAATGTATATCTCAAAGTCGTTATCATATATCGTGAAATTAATATTAAAGAATAAAGAAATAAGTGAAATTATATTGTAAAAATGTGTGTGGTTTTATGTAAAACGAAAAATGGTCAGAACATGTATTTTTTTTTCTCTATAATAAAAGACAGAAAATGGTGGAGAAAATAGTTGCATATTTATTTTTTTAAATCAAAATTGAGGTTAATTGACACCGTGTCAAGGCTGCAGAGGCCTAGTGGCTCAAAAAAAAAAAAGTGGCTCGGTGTTTGTATGAGATGGGAGTGGGGGTCGATAAAGGTTTATCTGTCAAATCAGAATCCTTTTACAATTTCTACCGTGGTTTTTCTAGCCCTTTGGCCTTTGCTCAGGTTTTGTCTGTAGAGGAATTCAAAGCCATGCGTCTTTTCTACCGGGCATTTACATTCGTGCATGCTCAAAGAGCACTTGGCCAGATTTTGTGCTGCAGGCATGTATCGGGCCTTATGGTCGACCTGTTCATCCACTGTGTTGATTTTCTCCTCAGACAACATCTGGACGAACCGTTTATTCTCTGACAGGGCTAATCTCCAGCTGCGGAAGCATCAAGTTACCTGGTGCATATGAATGCGCGGATTTACCTTAAAGCCTGGAGGCCAAGGGACAGTTCACATGCAGCGCAAAATGCAGGAACATATGCTGCAATATTTCTAATGTGATCACGGGATTAACAGCTGAGATGCACAAGCAGAGGCCTCTTGGACAAACGAAAAGGCGGTGAGATAAGTCAACATATCTTACAAAGATATAACACAGAATTTATCTTATTGGATATGCAAAACACAATAGGTACAACCTATATCTGAAACCCCGCAGCCATTTCACCTTTCTATCAGCCATTAAAAGACAGCCGACTATGTATAGGCATAAAGCAATAGCCTATATGTAAAGCAAAAAAAGGATAACAGCATTACTACATGGAAAAATATAAGCTAAATATGAGCTAAAACAAACTATTTCGGCACAAATAAACAAGTCATGAGATGACTTTCCTCCCATCATTATCTTCAAGGTAGTTTTACTAAGAATTGTAATGCCTGGGGAGCCACCTAGCGGACAGGAGAAGAAATGTTTCAAAGCAGAGAAACATCGTAACAATAGACCTAGACAATACACCATACAGATAACTAATAATTAAAATATTTCCATTCAACTCTGTAAAATATTCGTCCTATCATAACCTCAATAGGCCATTCTCGGCCCCCCTGAGGTACATACTTAAGTAATGCTTAATGACTGTATGTTGTATGTATGGGGGCTGATCCAGGATTTTTCTAAATCAGGGGCCATAAAGGGACCACATTTTACACAGAGGGCTCAACCATACAGTATATGCCCAGCATCCATGTACAATTCCTGATTCAGTAAGGTGTAGATACATTTCACCAGTAGTTCCTTGTTTGCCATTGGCTCTATAGCTTTGAGCAAAGACAGACATTACTGAATATATTTTTGCAAATTGTTCCTTGTTCAAGCATTTTGTGTACTTCAGAAAAGCTTAGAAAATAACTTATAATATTTATTGCGTTTTAAACCGGTGCATAGAAAATATACATAGGACCCTTTCTTTTCAAATATCACACACACAGCAGTAAATGAAAATGTTGTCAGACAGCAAAAATGTATAACTGCAATGTTGTCTGACAAAACCACCATACACAATTTAAAGACAAAGACATGCTCTGTGATTTCATGTATATTTACTTGTAAATTTATCACTGAGAGAAAGTTAAAAGTGACAGAATATCTTTCTTCTTTTGTATCACAGCATCCACAAGTTTTCAACTACTGTATTTTCTCAAAAAGTGATCAGGGCCTTTATTTACCTCAACTGCAGAAGGCAACAGGTCTTTAGGGCAGCCTTGTGTGACAGGCAAGCCTTTATTGCCAATTTGCGCTGTTTGATATGTATAACTGGTCATACCTGTTTTTTTTTTTTTTAGGAAGAAAGACTTTTTTTAGTTGCTCCCATCTGCAGTGTTACTGCATTACACGTACTACAAAGTCAACACTTACTGTAACTGTTCCAAATTGGAAGCCCTCTAGTGTTTCAGCGGACAGAAACCCTTTATATCTTAACAGGACCTTTATTGCTGTGCTGACGTACTGCAGAAAGCATATCGTCTCATTTCCAGTTGTTGGTGTTTGTTGTTTACATGCTATTCTGATCTGCTAGTTACTTTAGCTTATCGATGGCTTCTCCCACTCCCTCATGCTCTCTTGCTTGGTGTGTCTTATGTGCATTTATTCCTCTGCCTCCTTTTGTAATAGTGGTACATGTAACAAAATTAGTTTATTTGCCATAATGAAGTCAAAGCTCAGTTAATTGGAAGCACTTCTCTGCTTCCCTGAAGCTCCCAAGCAGCCGGGAAACCAGGGTGGCAAGGTGACTGCCTGTAACAAGAGGCGTATTCCTAAGACCACACTTGGCATCCATACATGATCTGGCCATACAACAGTTTTATACCTGTTTGGAAAACTTTAAATCTAGCAACAACTTCACTTAGTTGGCAACACTGCAGGGGGTAAATAATAGTTATAGAACCTATTAGCACCAATTCATTTTGAAAGAGCAGCAACCAATGGGGAAACTCCAACTCAGTCATGTGATATTCAGCTGATCAATGGTGGAAATATGATCAGTCAGGGACACTCATGATTATATCCAGCCAACAATGGTGGTAGTGTGCCTTTTTACAGAATAAATAACAGAAGGGCATTGAGACAAGCAAGAGTTATCTGTGATCAGACAAACCCACTGGAAGTCTATTCAGACAGTGAGCTGATTGAGATCCGGCTTTGACAGACAAGCCCTATTTGAGCTAATAGGAGTTCTCCCCTCAACTACAGCATGCATCCGACATTGGTAAAACTCAGAGTGAAATGTTTTGCTAGAAACAATTCATGTGGACGCACGTCTTACCAGTTGCAGCTATGACCTCGGTCAGTAAGGCTTGGTGCGCTAAGACTGGCATAAGAGTTAAAACCTACTTTTTTGCCCACCCAGCTAGCGCACTCTGCCCCAGGACCATATTTTGCCATGATCACACACACGGCAAAAATAATACCAGTCGTACTGTGCTGAACATATTTATTTATCAATTAACATTTATAAACATCGACATTAATACTCTCAAATCTGTAACGTCCTAAATTCAATGATAGTATACTGGCGCCTTCTGCTGGCCGCATTTCACTGAGCTTGATAAAACACAGTACTTTGGAGTTGATGTGAGTATTGATGGCAATCAGGTATCTCACACCAGACATTCAGTGCAAAACTTTTTACCAAGTACTTGACAATTAACTGGAAGCTTGAAATGCACGCAAGACGAACTTAAGACCACACATGTCAACATTCAGACCCATGAGTACTGAGTAGTCATTACTACATTATTACATGAGTACTCAGTACTCATGGGTCGGAACACACCCATCTTTGACCTCTGTCTTAATTTTGATGTCAACTACACACCTGTGAAACTTCTTGGCTGTACCATAAATGGCTGTTTATCACACACATGGGTATTGTTTTCTCACCTTGTGAGTGTGTGTGTGTGTGTGTGTGTGTACTTTGCTAGGTGTTTATACATATGTCTGACTTGTCACCGTGATAGCATTACAACCATGTGAGATACAGTCAGGAAACTTTTACAGGTGTGTAGTTGAGATAAAAATGAAGGCTGAGTTCAAGGATGAGTGTGGTCCGATCCAAGTAATGGCATTTTAAAAAAACCTTAATAAAATTTTCATAATTACACAAAAACAGTGAAATATTTACAGGCAATAGAATGCCATTGTAAGACAAGGGAAGTCAAAAGGATAAGAAGAAGTAGATAAAAATAACCAAGTGGCTCAAAATACCTGCAGATTAGAACATCCACATGAAGTGGTTGGGTGGTCAGTATAGTAGTACAAGCAGATTTAAATAATCAGTTGCACACTGGCATTCACGTTCCACAGCAGCCAGTCAGTGACCCCAATACTCCAATATAACGAGGCTCATTGGCTGGGCTCTTCGTTGTTCAGGGTTGTGGGCTTCTTGGTCGAGTACTCGACCACCCAGGGGTGAGACAGGACTCCTTGGATGGGCAGTCTGTGCATGGGATTGTGCTTTAACAGCTGGGCAACCAAGTCTTTGGCTCCAGCACTGATATTGGCCTGTGCAGGGTAAGTGTACTCCACCTGGACAACAAAGACAAACAGGTGAGGTAAGTGGTGTGGCACGGCCTTACACTCACAACACTGAGTGAATGACAAAACAAGTACCGTGAAGACATCACCTTGGGCTCTGGGATATTATGGAGCATTTTTCATTTTTATTCAGTATTTTATAGACTTATTCCGTTCAACTACAAATAAAAAGACCTAATACATTTCTATCTTTTAACCTGACTATTGCTGTCGCTTAGATATATGTGTCCTTTTGTAAATTTTTCCTTTCTCAACCACTTCTCTCCTTCTTTCTGCTGCATTTGCTGTTACTTCAGTGATAGCATCGCATTATTTACAGATGCCTGTAGCACACGTTGGACACACCATTAAGACAGAAGTAGTAGTCAAGGCAGAGTAGTCGACGTGTAACTATCCTGGGGGCAAATGTGATATAATCGGTGCTATTCCGGACACTTGTGTGTCAAGACAGCACTGGTGTTTAAGATTTTAATAAAACAGGCAAAGGTGTTTTGACACACTGTTGGCTTAAATGCATTAAGGAGCAAATCACTCAGATCCCACAGAAAATTAATAGGGCAAAATTTCACTTTGCAACACACTGCAGCTCACATTGGACAAGGTAATGCTAGTGTTGTTTCACTATAACTGTATTTTTCAGACTGTGTAGTAAATACTCATTGAAATTGCATTTAAAAGTTGATAAAACAATATATGCCAGTTGTTGGAGTGTCTAGCTATCCTTGACTTACCCTTGATATCCTCCGGTAGGTGTCCTCATGAGTTTTTGCTTCAAAGGGGGGTTTTCCAACCAGGAACTCATAGCAGAGGACACCCAGGCTCCACAGGTCCACTTTTTCATCATGCGTTTTCCCCTCAATCATCTCTGGAGGCAAGTAGTCCAATGTACCACACAAAGTGGACCTCCTGAAAAAGGAAAGAGTGACCGATAAAGTAAGGCACATTTTCATTCCTGATCTGAGCACTGATAGTCAAGCCAAACAAGTAAATAGACGATCTCCACGGAGGGAGCTGCGTCCAACCTCTCTGAAGTTTATAATGAGGAGAAACAATTGTGGAAAGTCATAATGGACATTGTTCGCAAAATACCAATCTTCCCCAGAATCCTAAGTCATACTCCCAAAGTAACATAAACCGCCCATTTCCTTCATGTACTTTATGTATTGCATAGATGGCTTGAACTACATTTTATATGTTTAGCCCATTCTCTAGACCCCCCCCTTTTTTCTCTCTTCTTTCTCTTTCACCTTGTTGAAGTATCTCCTACATAAATTTCAGATTCACTAAAATACCCAACAGATTCAATACTTAATTAAAACAGTCAAAACCAAAAGGCAACATCTGTAAAAGGGCATATATGGATACCTGGAGGAGGGCGTGTGAACAGACCAGCCAAAATCTGCAATCTTCAGCTCCCCGTTGGCTCCAAGCAACAGGTTCTCTGGTTTGATGTCCCTGTGGATCACCTTCTTGGAGTGGCAATAGTTGAGGGCATCTGCCAGCTCCATGATATACTAGTACAGCACATAAGGAATAGAGCATGATGAATCCAAATGAAATTCTGCATGCATGTAAGTTGGTGATGTCAACTGCTCATTTGATGGCAAAGTATATATTTTCAAAAAAGTTCTTAAACTGGCAGACTTACCGTGGCACTTCTGTCCTCAGTAAAATTTCCACACCGCTGCAGCTCACTGTATAGTTCTCCCTTGGGTGCAAACTCAAGGATGAGATACACACGAGACGCGTCATGGAAGTAGCCATAGAGACGCAAGATATTGGGGTGCCTGAAGGACGCCGATGCAGAAGAGTGTTCTGAGAAATTTTGTTGAAATACCCAACCATGGTTTCAAAAGAGCAAACATTGGTAGAACTATATAAACAGTTGCAATAGCTAATGCTTCAGCATTTGCTTTATACACAAGGTCTACATTCTTAGTTCATTCAATGGATCTATGCAAAATGTAATCACTGAGCAAAACCTTCAAATTTGACTCATCTGTAGTGCTGAAATTTGGATTAATCAGAATTAATCCTACAGAGACTGACATGACCCAATCAGATTTGAACTCAAGACAGACAAAACAGAAACATGAACCAAGCATGATTCTGATGGTACACGAATTGTCCAGTTGCAATAAAATAAATATTTAACGACAGTTACCAAGAATCACATTGTGATTCAAGATGGAGCACAACTAGTGATCACAATTGATTGTAAGAGGCTTTACACATAAAACACCTATTATACACAAGACCTGTATGACATGAGAGTCTACTAAAGTTGCATTAAACTGGGATACTTGTTCAGACTGTTGCAGCTTAAATTCCTTGTCATCACATACACACCAAACCAAATTGTTCACACAATTACATTTCAGTTTGGCCGACATGCTTTTTATCACTTTTTTCAAAGATGAGTTAGACTATTGTTTACATTGCCAAGCTCTAATATGAAGCAGTAGCTGCCATTATGCTAACCGAGTTACCTTCCAGACCTTTTTCCTTTTCAGCTTAAACCCCACTGATCATTAACTTGGGTTTCACTTATCATGAAGTCAAACCTGTTTAATTTCGTTTGACTTGATAACACAGGAATCAGTGGACACTCATCAGCAAACGAAGTGTCAAGCCCTTTGAAGTGACATAATTTGGATGACCACTCTATCAGACAACCTCTAATTGGCCCTAATTTCAAAATTTGGCACAATCTGAATGATACTTTACCTGAGGTGAGACTGGATCTCTACTTCTCTCCTCAGCTGGTGTTCCACTCCGGCCTTCTCCAGCTGCTTCTTGAAGAGCACCTTCAGGGCCAAGATGAACTTACTTTGTCGCTCTCTGGCCAGGTAGACATTGCCAAATTTGCCTTTTCCCAAGGGTCGACCAATGTCAAAATTTTCCAGGCTCCATCGCTTCCTGTGTGAGCAGAAATGTGCATAGTTACAAACAACAGCAACAAAATTTATAATCTTACAAAAGATGATCTAATAAAAACATAAGTACACTTAATAACACTTATCAGACATACTTGGATGAAGAGGTGGCTGCAGAATCATTCTTGGCAGGTTTGTCTAACCAAAAAAAAAAAAAAAAAAAAAAAAAAAAAAAAAAATAGAAAAAAGATATGTTAGAAGCAAAACACGGATAACACTCATAATATTGATCAGTTTTCAATTTTAGATTTTGCTTACTCTGTGGCTTCTCAAACTTTGCCAATTCTGATGGTGGTTTGGTGTTCTCAGAGTTCACCTTAGCCACGTGTGTCTTTGGCTGGATTTGCTGGTAACCAGGTTTGGGCTGAGGTGCAGGGTTTACATTCTGAGTAGCAGGGTTCACATTCTGATCAGAGGGTTGTGTGGACTTAATGGCAACAGAGACATGAGATACTGGCTTCTGATGGCTCACAGGTCGCTGAATGCGCTGAGGTCCATTTGACACACCCAGGACCCGCTGATGCTGAGTTGGTGTAACTACAGCCATCTGAGTCATCTGTGACTGGTGTAACACAGGAATCCGCTTTGGTCCTTCACTGCTTGACTGTAATCAAAGAAAATCATCAAATACTTAAACTGGCTTTTAAAGTTGTAATTTTTTTAATATCTGAAAGCAACATGAAACCTCCATCTGTTCTCCATTTGCTATGGTCCTTTTTGCAGGGTCCACCAAGTTAAACTTAAGACTTAAACCTATTCAATACCACACAGAACACAATTTAACACCCGTTTCTAATTACTATTTTTATAACTACAGCATATTTTTTCAGTACTTCCTAGCAATATATAACAATTTCCAATGACAAATTAATGTGACCTAGATAAGTGCCAGAAAATGGACGGATGAATTAACTAATGATAATCATTACACTGTTAAAGTTTTTTTCTTGACTTAATAATAATAATAATAATAATAATCATAATCAATAATCTTGATGTAATATTGCGCATTACCTTCACTTCAGGCCTTTGAAGTTTCATGTCCTTTGTCAGCTTGAGTCTGGCGTCCATATTCTGGTGAAAAGGAAACTCTTGTTAAATTAAGAATCAAACAAATCATAAACAGTTGATGTACGGGAAGGACTTAAACAGGCATGAGACCATAAGATAACATTCAATTAATTTACCTATTTAAGCGCATCTAATTCCCTATGGCTAAATTGGCTCACTGCTAAAACAGATTTGCATTGGCGCTGTTATTACAAAAACTGTGTAACGCTACGTATCACCGATGCTCCCTTGTCTCATCTAGGAAATAATAAAAAGTAACTGGACAAAAACACTTAAAATTAGACACTGTCGTATAAAAAAAGACATTAAACGTTAGCTATCTTCTTTGCATAGCTACCGTCCCTAACGTTTTTAGACGCGTTAGTTCACCGCTAACGTTAGCTTAGTAACGACAGCTAACCTAGACACCCTATGCAACACTCTTGTTAATGAGATAACTTAATGAGTTGATGAGATAACTTACCTAGAGATATTATTGCACAGTGACCGAAAGCAAACACCGTCCGTCAATCTATCCACAATTTAAACGAGCTGAGAACAGCTCTCAAGCAGGTTACGCCAGCTAGCTAGCTAACAGCTACGTCGGGTACGAGAGCTGGTGTTTGTGGCTGCATACATAAAGAATTATTATTCACTGTAACGTTAAGATCACTCCTCTAACCACGCTATCGAGGGAGCAATCCTCTTAGCAGCCGGGTTGAAGTTGTTAAAATAAAAAAATTGAAAATGAAATGTATATATGGAAACTCAACAAACAACTTTAAACGTGGCTGACTAACACTTCCCCTGAACACTGCCTGTTTGATTTCAAACGTCCCTCCGTTGAAAACCTTTAAATAAACCAGTGGTTCTGATTGGCTGAGGGAATGCTGTTTAGTCGGTCCTCATTGGCTGACGACAAATCTTGCCAACGGGTGTAAGCCTTCAACACAGTAGAGGACAGCAGCGAGTGGGACGGACGGACGGACGGAAGGACGTAAGGACGGACGGTAGGACGGACGGACAGATAAATAGATAGATCGTCTTAGCTACTTTCCACTTTTGGAGGAGAGTAAACACACTCAACACAACTGAAATCAATATATGTATATTTGTCAGGCTATAGGTATAAGCCTGACATCATCCGTTTTCTGCACCGTTTATTCATGCCGAGTGTATTTATATTTATATTATATTTTATTTATATACATTTTTATTTATATTTATATTTATAAATATACTCTAGTGTTTAAATACGCTATACTGTATATATTTTTTCGACATATCGTTTTATCAATGTTGTCTCGGCTTAATCAAAGCCCCTCCTCCTCTATACGTATATCTTATAGTTTCCGTCTATTTCTTCTTTGGGGTTTAGCTGCAGCTTGTATCCTTCATGTGGCATTACTGCCATCTTCTGGAGTTAGTTAACCCGTACAGCGTCTAGTATGTCAGATTTTCCTTAACAATCCTATTCTCATTAGGAATCTGAACAAGCATCTTCTGCCATGTCCCTTATCACCATACCCCAGTATACTCTTTGGACCTGCTCCTGTTAACCTAAATCTTGTCATTATTTCCATTATGTCCATTTTCTCTGACGCATATTTCCTGCAGTAAGTACATGCTCTACAGTTTCTGATATCTGGCAGTGATCACATAAACCGGTTGGATTCTTCCCTATAATGTCAATTGTAATATGTACTGTGTTTTTTCTATTTCCATCCTGCTTCTCACAATGCTATTTTATCTATTTTGAATGGAATGCAAATCTCCTTCCTTGTTTCTTATTTGCGATTGTGCTTGTTGTTTGCTTTTGACTTTGCCAAAATAAAGATTCTTAAAAAATTAATAAATAAAAAAGTTTTACATTTTTTCACATTTGGTCAGAACATACTTTTCACTGTTGTATTCATCGGCTTGTTTACACTGGTCATGATTCAACATGATTGAATTTTAATTTAATCTGTTTACTGGCTGTACTCTGACCTTCATGATGACACAAAGGTCAGAGTACAGCCATTGCATAAGGTAATTCAAAATATGCTGAACCTGCAATATTTTCATATATTCACACAGGTGTTACATGAATCATCGCAATTTCTTAAAAAAAGAAACAGTCACAATGGACATGTAGTCATGTACCCATCACCTACATAAACATACTACACATAAAGAAGAACGAATGGCACAGATCATAATTTAAACAACTTTATTTCTAACTATTCATTTCACATAGCCAGTAACTTAAAAACAGCAACATTTCATTAACTTTGGCCCTTACTTTTGTCAAGGTAAGACTTGGCCTTTAATTTCTAGTTGAAATTACATTACAGAATCTTTTTTATAATACTTGTCAAGATGAAACTGGAAATCTAGCATTTGGCCACAGTGTGGCAGTATGTGGCTCTTCCATTTCAAACATGCAACATCAGTCCATCCTGCCAAGTGATCAATGTAAGAACAATGCATTTGTACTGGCCCACATCTCGGTGTTCATACAGTATGAAGAATAACTGCTTCAGTGTTTGGACTCTGAAGATATAGAGGAAAAGCAGACCTTCACACACCTTAGTTAACAGTGTCGTATGGAATGCATACATTCGGTGAACATCTCTTGACTGAACCTCCACAGTCATTCAAGCCACTATTTTAGCAGAATCATGTGCACTGGATATTTTCACACAGACCACTTTGCTACTTGAAAACAAAATAACGATCAATTTGAATAAATGTCCACTCCATGTTAAATATTGTATACATCATAACGAATGCAAATTCAAAAAGAGAACATCTAATTTTCAAAATATATTTGATTTTCATTGTAACAGCAACCAAGCGTATTTCATTCTGAGGTATACCTAATTTGAAGAATTACTGGAAAACATCTCCTATTAAACAGGTTAAAATATTTTATTTAATTTCCATATTCTATAGATGGTGAGACCATTTCTTTTTCAGAGGCACCCAGACAAGTTTAAGTTACAATTTCTAACTAAAGCATGTGATATCACATTTCACAATGGCAAACCCAAGCCACAACTTGCTCCATCAAAACAAACTATTTTTTCTAAATATTCCTGTCATAGGTAGAAAAAAATATATATATTAATGAAACTTAAGCGTTCACTTTCACCACACTGCTGTCTGTTATATGAAGAAAGACCTCTCAAACACACAGTGTACGCACAATTAATCCCTCAAACAGTAATACCAATATATTCACAAATGATCAGATCCCTCAGCAAGTATAGCAGCTTTTCTTCGTTAAAATGTGTTATTCTGTAAGTGCAAATAAAAGTCACTGCAAAGGTCTCAGCCTTTACTCTGAAAGGACATGCTGAGGAACAATTTCCATGTGTATCAGTAAAACTGTTTTGAGTTCAGAAAACAGATTTTTACTATTACGCTTGTTTGTACGACAGTGTTTGAGAAGGTCTTCCACATTAAGTCATGTGAAAAACATAAATATGGCAAGTACCTTGATCCCTTCATTTCACTTAAATACCTTAATAACAATATCACTTATTAGATAATAACAAAATACAGTTTATATTCAGGCTTGCATATGAACACTGCCTGGTACAGAGTGTCTTGTTATTACTGAGGTCCCACAAGAAAGCATTGTTGGAAAGATAGCTCTTACACAACTAAACCTGTCTGTGAAACATGTCATTAATGTCTCACTGCCAGTGGCTGCGTTAACTCACTGCTTACTCTGACACCTGAAACCACTTCCATGTCACCTTGACACACATTGCACTTGACCCGCCTCGACACAGCATTGTTTTCTGCCATCATATCTTAACAGGAGTAATCTTCGCCATCGCTTCTATACTGTTTATTGCACCGTAACTGTTTTTCTTGTAACTCTTTTGTTGTAAACACAGAGTTCATACCACTGGCACGACTTCCTGGCATTCTGAGGTCTTATGGCAGATGGAAACACAGCTGGCAAAGGTTTTTTTTAAGAGGCTGGACAAAAAGCATTGTGTCCCTTTTGGCACTTTTCGTATGTTTTCAGTTCATCCAATGCCTCAAATACATCTCTGCCAATGCTTCATGTTTCCAAACACACAGATAACAGTGTTGTTCAAAATATGTCCCTGAGTGCTCCACCCATGTTTCCTTCCCAACTGTCTCATTACTGCAGTCCTGCCAAGCAGCATCTCCTGAAAAAGACTTCACAGAATCCCTTTATGATACAGCCTGCTGTTATACATTTATCTAATGTAGATAGTAAAGTATATGAGATGGAGGAGTTAAATAATACAAAAACCCAGAGCACCAAAACAGCATGAGAGCATCATAAAGGGAGGCTGGTTGCACTGCTGTGCAGTTTCTCTCAGACTCTATTGGTAAATAGAGGCGGGTGTCATTTCTCAGTGACCGCAGCAGCCATCGGGGTGCGAATGGTCCCACGTGCTGTGGCTGCTAGCTCCTCAATTTCTGCATTCAGTCGTCTGATTACCCACTCCATGGCTTCACGGCCCTGATCGAGAACAAAAATAAAGAATTAGTCTATAGGAGGAGATATAAAGAGAATTTCATCAAGCTGCATTGAAGGAAGGGCAAGAATTATACTCTATTTTGCCATAGGAAATAGCAGTTGTTGCTTCAGAACCCTTCCAACAGGTCCAAAGATAACAGGTAACATTATGATTAAACAGATAAAAGAAGTCAGTGTGCTTCAAATTAAGTCTTTGTTGAACATATTCTGAAACTCCCCCCCCCAGACCTTTCTGGTGTCAGTACTTTGGAAGCTACATACGATCATTTTTGTAATTTTCAGGACAATCCAACAAGCAAGACCAAATTTTTCATAAATTTTTCATTATCATTATCATTTTTTTTATGTACAAACAAATGTAAACTACGAATCCCTTCAAGTAAAGATTGTCCGAAAGTGTGCAACTTGATCCATTTGAATTGAATTTAAAAACACAACAATACTAGTTACTTCATAATAACAAAATATAGACTATTTAATTTTTCAAGCTTGTGTACAATGCCTGGTATTGAGTCTGGCTGGACAACACATTTTATAAACAATTAGTTTCCAGCATACCTTGGCCTTAAGAAATAAAAACAGATATTTCTGTTACTCAAATAGTTAATTATTTCTGGGTTTTCGCTACATTTTGCTTTTTTCTTATGAGATAAAAGGATACTTTTCAGGGTTTTCAAAAACACTTCAAATTAAACAATCTCAAAAGGAAAAGTCACACTTTGGCTGATCTGCTCGCAGCTACAATGAAGCCATAACCTGTGATCATCTAAGGGGTCACAAACAAAAAAGGCTGGGAACCACTCAAACAGTTTAAAGCAAGCACTGTTTTATTAGTTAATAGGTAGAAAAAAATGGTAATGGGGCAGAATTATGATAAATTATGTATTTAGTTTAACACCTGTTATGTGTGTAACTACCTGAAATAGGGCTAACAAATGTTATGGGTCCCACTCAAGATACAGTTTTAAGGGATCTCTTACCTTTCCAGCATTAGCAGAGATGGTGCTGGCCATGACTCCCTCTAGGTAACTGCTTAGACTGACTCCTTTCACAGAGATGATAGCCTCCTGTGTCAGTATTGTTCTAAAAGGAAGGGTTTAAAAAAAAAAAACATGGTCAAAAGTTGCCTTTAACAACCTCACAGCTCTGCACACTTAAGAAATTTAGGATTAAATCATTACAATGTTAAAATCCCTAAAAAGTAAAAACTTACTTTTCTGGATCCTCAGGGTGTGGTTTGTATGTTAACTTCTCATCCACAGACACCATGTTTGTGAACGTAATCTATGGAGGAAATATTACAAGACACGTATTAGTAAATGTTAAGATATCTATCAGAGAAGTTGGAAAAACACCATTATGAATGTTCCTTGCTGGAAAGTAAGTTGTCGACCTGTGTAACAAGGAGGACTTCATTTCAGAAATGTCTCAAGGTTCCACACACTCAGTTCACTGTGTATGTTCAATCAAATGGAAGTCACAAAGGTGGATCTAGATGGGATATGGGTGTTTGTGGTTGACACATTCAAAATAGAACTTGTTCTATAAACACCTGAAAGGGTCTGATAAGAATATGCTGTGTGAAAAAATGTCTGTCTTTAATAGTTACATCACACTGTAACTAACTGTGAGACCTACAGTATGTCTTCGTGCCAACATTATGTCCTATGGTAATATCCCATTTCAGCTGCTAGTACATCAAGGTAAGATAGAGTTTAGTAATGTGTGTCAGATACATAGTAGGCTATCCCTGGGTGAGATCAAATCCCACACTGAATTTATGCACCCATGAAAATCCAAATATAGGAGAACATTATTTTATAAATACTCACATTTGTGGACTGAAGTTCAAAAGATTTCTCTTTGGGATCCACAACCGAGTGCTCCTGAACATATGTGTATGTTCGTGTGTTGCCAATGATCTGAAGACAAAGAAAGGGACATGCTTTACTACAAAGTTAAGTTAACTGCGAGGACAATTTGCAATTTGTTCTTATTTGTGCTGCCCCTTTCCTTGGAAATTATACCTTTATTGATTCATTGATTTATTATTCATTTATTTTTGCCTGCTCTGTGGTTGGGCTACCCTAAAAATTCATTAAGTACACAAAGGTTCACGTCCTGTATACAATAAATACACAGATCATCTGCTGACTTTGGCATACTTTACAAAATCTTACAACTTTGTGTTTAAAAATGTTATTTAATCAGTATTTCCAGGGGAAACACATCAGTACCAGCTCAGATTACATTTGAATTTCATGCAGTAAATCTGAATTTGTCATACTGACACTGAACCACTACTTTGCTGAATTAATTCACACACTATATATTTAATTCACTGAAACTTTTAATATTCACTTTAATATTGAAATGTTACCTACATTGAAATTAAAGGTTTTGTAATTCACATTCATCTTCTTCAGGCAGATACGTGGGAATAAGAGGTTTCTCGCAATTGTCGTTTAACCTCAGAATATTTTTTATGAACTTTAAAAATCTATATGAACTCCATTTTTGGAGAGGTCTCTGTTCCACTATCTTGAGCTTTAAAGTGATTTTCTGTCAATATTTTATCTAATTGTCTTAAGCTGAAAGTACAGAGGTAAACTGATGTCACAGGAAGTCATCTTCACAGCACATCCAGTCCAGACACACACACTGAGGCTCAGGAGTGATTTACTTTGGCACAATCTGATTAAGGGTTATGTTAATATGCTATCAATCACTGGGACAGTCTGGGTCCTAGACTGTCCTTGGAATTAAAGGGGCTATACATAGACAGCAAAGGTCAGTGCTAAAGAACAGCAGCTGATTGCCAGATATTTACATAGGTTAAAACACGACAGTGTAACAGGATATTATCTTTCTCCAGCCTTATCGTCGCTGCGCTCAAAAAGTCAAAGAAACGGGGGGAAAGTTCAAATGATATGGTGCAGAAATCCAAGAGCCTCCGTCACTGCTCTGCATTTCAGTGACCTCTAGTTTTAACCAAGCTGACACAGAGATGGAAAATTACATCACACGCCGTCATGGGTTGTACCTCGGCAATGACAGAAATGGCACTACCGTGTCCTGTACAACACGAGCCATGGCACAAAGCCACACACTTCCCTGGCCGGGCAGCAGTCAGCAACCAGGTCTGCTGCTGCTGATACCCCTGGACAGAAATAGCCTTGCGGGTTAAGGTCATGCTCACTGGCTGGAAAGCATTAACCTACCTCCGGTACTAAACTGACTGAGCCTATAACTGGATTCTTGTGCTGTGTTTAATAGTCTGACTTTTAAAGTAATTTCAAGTCAATTCATCACCACAACACGAGAAGATTATGTGTTTTGTCATATATGTTATAATACTGATTAAATGACCTTAAAGAGAAGCACCCAGACCATGAGCACAAACTGACATGTTAGGTCATGTGTTTCTCCATTCAGAGTCACATGTCAACATTTTAAGTAGCTGCAGCAAGTTTTTAACTATAATGTCAGACTGCTGACCAGTTCTAATTATGCATTTGGACACTCACAGATTTCACTATAGATGGAAGGCCCCACTCTGTGCTGAGCAGTCTTTTACTGTGGAGGCGTCCCTGTTTGTCGATGCCTCTGTCCAAGACATCCACTCCAATCACGCTGGGGTTCATGGGGTTGGGGTACTTCTGCATAGCAGCCTTGGTCACTGTCTCCCAAGGATGGCTGTTGAAGGAAAGCCAAAAATCAAAAACAATTTTAACATTGCATTAATAAATCATACAAATACACATTCTGACTAATTGACTATTTGTTTTTTGTTTTTCCAAGGTAAAACATAAAACTCAGTGCCCTACTTTCTTATCTTTTTAACAAATAGCTTTTGTGCAATGGTGGAATGTAACAGTACATCTACTAAATTACTGCACTGAAGTGCAAATTTGAACTACTTTTACTCCGTTGCATTTATCAGTTATAGCTACTAGTTTCTTTATACATTAAGGCTTTACAAAAAAAAATATATGATGACTTTATTAGATAGATACTTTGTTGTGGATTGAACTATCCAACAGTATATAAAACAGTTAAAATTACCTAAACCATGACCAACTACAACAGTAATGCATCAGAGTTAAGAAACCATTAACATAATATATAATAACATACATTTTTATGTTGTTTTTTTTTGTTGTTGCAGAGAGCAGTTTTACTTTCAACCATGTTGGAGTATTTTTACATTGTGGTATTGGTACCAGAGCTGAGACAGAAAAATAACTATTCTCTTTTTTTTATAGACAAACAAAGTGACACATTCTGCACATTCTCAGGTTCCAGCTTCTCAAATAGTAGGATTTGCTGCTTTGTCTTGTATCATAATAAACTGAATATCTTTGGGGGTTTTTCAGTCCATTTTCTCAGTACGTTTTTCACATGTCACACGCATAAAAAAAAAAACAATCAACATATTAATAATAATAATTAAATAATCCTTAGTTGCAAACCTGTTTGCTAAAGTTTTTACTCAAATAAAGATACTTTTCTACCACTGCTTATTTGACATTATTAACGAATTAACCTATACCTAAGGGTACCTACATTTACTTTACTGAAAAAATCTAATTGCTGTAACACAGCGAATTAATATGTAAATATCTTATCAAGCGCTAGTTCACTGCCTGCAAATCTGATTTTTTTTCACATATCTAAATAAATTGAACGAAGTGGAACTAAATGTTATTTTGTCTTACTATCAGGCTACGTTTACTTTTAGAATCGCAGCGCTGAAAGGTAAAATATATACGTAAAAAATAAGTAAAAACTCTTTCGAGTACAAATGCGAGTCGAACGTAGTAGTGGATGGTTGCCAGGGAGACGCACGGGCGATGCCTTGTGACGCAGGCAGTCACTGCACAATGTAGGGGAAAGGTCGCGCGCTGGGGGTTGGACCTGACTGCCTGCTTACGCAATTCTACCGCTTTTTTTCTACAACCAGACACTGACAGCATTCTGTTCACCTTTAAAGACTGTACGCTATCGGTGCTTGTGCGTACCTTCAAACAATGTGGCATGTATTTTGGAAAAAAGGCGTCACTATTTCCACAATAAACTATGCGCATGCTGTTCACCGGAATAAAAACGAAGCCAGCTAGCCTACTTTACTGCCTGAGCCTGACAGTGAACCTCTGACAGCCGGCAAAAAAAACAAGTTATCTAAGATATTTCAACAGACATACTCACTTGAATATGTGCTCTGATGTCCAGATTTTCATGATTTTAGTGAGGTGACCGGAGCTGGTGATGTCGGAGACAGACGAGTGGATAAGCCGGGAGGTAGGCACTGTCACACTGACTGAAACCAGTGAACCACGTTCAAAGACAACCACAAGTCCCCTCCCACTGTACCGGCGCAGTCACATGATTGTATTACGCATTTCCGAGAGTGTGCTACATGCCGCAGGAGTTCACTGATACTGGCAGCAACTGAATGAAAAACCCTTTAAATCAAACACCAGAATTGATGAACGACAACCAAAGATAGAGAATCATATGATTATCGCACTGCAACTTAACGTGCAGCACATTTTCTGTTCAGCTTTGCAAACTAATAGGGCATCGTCCATTTAACCTTTGATGTTACACAACTCAGCTCAGTGAAGGTTAACAGTTGTCCTGTGCAACCTTGGAAGAATGGCAGTAACTGGCCAGTGGTGGAAACTAACCACATACATTTGCATTTTTGCCCCACTACATTTATTTAAAGCTTTAATTACAAGCTATTCTCCACATTATTATTAATACCAAATATAATCAGCATTTAATCGATGATGTAGCCTATTATTCTACATTAATCTACCCAGCAGTTACCCACATGAAGTAATTAAAATCAGCCTTACCTGTAACAGCTGCAAACAGATAGGCTACACACATTGTTGCATCAATAAGACAGTACTAGCCTATAATATATATTATTCTGAAATGGGACATTCTGCATAATGAGTACTTTTACTTTTGGTAGTTGAGGTATGTTTTGATACTAATACTCATATAACTTTTACATAAAATAGAGTATTTCTACACTGTTGTGTTGGTGCTTTTATTTAATTAAAAGATCTGAGTGCTTCTTCTACCAGTCTTACTGACACTGCAGCATCAACTCAGTACTCAAATTTTAAGAACACCTTGTATATGTCTCATTTGAATCTAGTTTGTCTCTGTGGGCTATTTAGGTGTAATATTTGATAGGATTTTTTTTTTTATCTCTATCTATCAGCATTTGCCAGAAGAGAGTATAATTTATGACATAATTTACAGAAACTAGTCTTGATGATTTTCAAGACATTGTAATGGTTACCAAGCTAGGGGTCAGGACCCCTATGAGGGGTTGCAAGATAAGCTTGAGGGGTTGTGAGATGATTAACATGATAGGAAATCAGGAAAAAAACATGTCTCTTCTCCAGAAATAATTTTTCAAATTTATAAGCTTAGTTATTTTTACTTGTGAATTACTGAAGAATTTTACCTCTTCTGGAAAATCACTCTTTGTTTGAACTGGTCACAATCAGTAAACCTGTGGAATGTGGTTGCAAAATGACATAATTTAATTTTAAGGGGTGACAAGCAAAAAATGGTGGTTACCTCTGGCCTTATGAATGATTTCTGTTGAGAGAGTGCTGGTTTCCTTATCTCTAGCAATGCTGTTAACCAGGCGCCTCCTGAGCTAAGCATGACAGCTCCTACATAACAATTTATGCCTATTCCCTACACTTGACATACAGCTTTACTAATAATGTCTTTCCAGATCAAGAGAAATATGGTTTGTTAACATGCAAGTTTTTGCGAGTTCATATTAGATTATACACTGCTGCAAGTCAAATTAGCAAAGGTCACGGCTCCATCTTGGGTAACATTTAGTTAGATATTGACCCCACCTCCTTAGGGGTAAAATTGAGTTTTTTTTCCCTCTTCTTGACCCCATTACTATCTTGTAACTTTAAGCAGGTTGTTCTCTGTGGTGCTATAGTGCCTTAATCATCATAACCCACATTCATATGTGGGTTACATGCAGTATATTCTTCTTTACCCCTGTATATATATGAGTCTGGTCGACTTTATTGCATATTAGAGGGACATTTCCACATCATGTGTGCTTATCTCAGAGTGCAGACACTCTGGCCAAGTTACGTGTAATCTCTATGTACCAGACTTGTCCCAGTGGGAGGAAACTGTGTGACAGCCAAGAATGGTATCACTGTCAATGTCCATCACAGCAGAGTTCAGTTAGGTTCAGTTTAACTTCAAATGATAAAATTGAATGAAAAAGGTGTTGTAATGAATATACACTCACTTTGGTGTTACTGTTTTTTTTATTACCATCATAATTTAGATACAAAACAATCAAATGCAACATTCACTGTAGGTCTGGAAACAACAAACTGGCTGGCTTTTATGGCTGTGGATTAAAACTGGAGTGGAGCTGGTGTGACATAAAATTTTCCATATATACAAGCAAAAATTATGATTTTCAAATTTTACTACAAAAGAAAAAACTTTAATCTTCAAAAACTAAAATACAAACATAAAAATCATTTGAACAATACATAAAAGACAATAAGCACTACTGTGTAAATATGTCACAGCACATTTATGAAATAAAGGCTATCTAAATCAATAGGCATCAATTCAATTACAAAATAAGAGTCCTTTTCAGACAAACAATCCTACATTTGTTTTTTCTCAAGGTGCCAAACCTGCACACTACAATGTCTTCTACTCATCTACAGTTTCTGTGGTTGTTTCAGTCACTGTTTCCAGTTTAACTTCCGTGTGAGACGCAACCTTTGTTGCCTTTGTCACTGGTGATGAGGGTCCCTCCTCTTCTTCATCCTCTGCTTCCCATTCTAGATCAGCAGTGGCATCTTGATACTGCTGGTACTCTGACACCAGGTCGTTGAGGTTGCTCTCTGCCTCAGTGAACTCCATTTCATCCATACCTTCCCCTGTGTACCAGTGAAGAAAAGCTTTCCGTCGGAACATCAAGGAGAACTGCTCACCCACACGGCGGAATATCTCCTGAATGGCCGTGTTATTGCCGATGAAGGTGGAGGCCATTTTGAGGCCTCTTGGTGGGATGTCGCACACGGCAACCTTGACATTATGTGGGATCCAGTCCACAAAGTAGTTGCTATTTTTTTGCTGAATTGCAAGCATTTGTTCATCTACCTCTTTGGTAGACATCCTGCCACGGAAGACACCTGCAACCGTGAGGTAGCGCCCTCGCCTAGGGTCACATGCTGTCATCATGTTGCGGGAATCAAACATCTGCTGGGTGAGCTCAGGCACTGTGAGGGCTCTATACTGTTGACTGCCACGGGCCGTCAGGGGGGCAAAGCCTGGCATGAAGAAGTGGAGGCGAGGGAAAGGCACCATGTTGACAGCCAGCTTCCTCAGGTCTGCATTGAGCTGTCCGGGGAATCTCAGGGAGGTCGTGACCCCACTCATCGTCAAGGAAACCAAGTGGTTGAGGTCCCCGTAAGTCGGTGTGGTCAGTTTCAGTGTGCGGAAACAGATGTCGTAGAGGGCCTCGTTGTCGATGCAGAAGGTCTCATCTGTGTTCTCCAGGAGTTGGTGGACCGACAGGGTGGCGTTGTACGGCTCCACTACCGTATCAGAGACTTTAGGAGAGGGCATGATACTGAAAGTATTCATGATGCGGTCGGGGTACTCCTCTCGGATCTTGTTGATAATGAGGGTTCCCATTCCGGAGCCGGTGCCACCTCCCAATGAGTGAACCAGCTGGAAGCCCTGCAGGCAATCACAGCTTTCACTCTCGTTCCTCACTCTGTCAATCACCTGCTCCACCAGTTCTGCTCCCTCTGTGTAGTGGCCCTTTGCCCAGTTATTCCCAGCTCCGGAGTTCCCTATAACACCAAAATAAAAGTGTGTAGGTGCATCTAATTCTCTCACTTGTCAATAGAATGAATTGAGGGAAACAAACATTATCTATTGCAAATATGAAAACATAAAATGCAAAAACAAACAAAAGTTGTTCCACTTCTTTACAGATGAAACAAACTATTGCATTAAAACTCTCAATTCTGTATTCCCAAGAAATATTTGTATCATGCATCTGTATCCAGAGCACCAAATATGACAGTACCACGAGTGTATGTTATTGTAGTTGTATGTTTCCTTTGCCATAACAATAATTAAAATGATTTTAAATTAACCACAAATTTTGTTATTTATCTCACCATGGATGAAATTGTCTGGCCTAAAAAGGGCCCCGATGCGGCTTCCTCTGACACTGTCCATGGTGCCGGGCTCCAGGTCAACAAGCAGGGCTCTGGGCACATATTTTCCACCTGGAAAACCATGGAGATTATTAACCATATGTCCAGAAATTAGACTTAAATGTGTTGGTCATGGTTAAAGTTCAAGAACAAAAAAATAGCACCTGAATTATGAGTAATTTGTGGACAGCTCATCAAACAAAACTAATTATAGATCAGTTTTTAGCTGTAAAATGAGCAGTCGTTATATCCTCTCTTTTACCATGTGCCTCATTGAAGTAGACGTTGAGCCTCTCCTGCTGGAGGTTGCTGTCACCCTCATAGAGGCCTGTTGCATTGATCCCATGTTCTTCACTGATCACTTCCCAAAACTAGAAAGACAAAGTCACAGAAGAATATTATTACTGTCATAATAATAATGCAACTTATTGTGTTTTCTGCAACATGTTATATTTTGAAGTTTAGACACTGAATGAGACTGAATATTTCCCTACTCTGTCCAATGTTTCAAACAATAACATTAATACACAGACAGACTTTAGGTCTGATGTGTATCTTCTGCTGTTTTTATACTTTTCACCTTTTACTTTTTTATCTACGTATCTGTTGAGATTTTTTTCCAGTTGTGCGGAAGTGTCCTCTAACTTTACCCTTCCATTGATTGTATGACCGGCAAATATATTCTAACACTGACTCTTTCCCAGCAGGGCACATTTTAAAATGCATTCCATTTTATATATTTTTATGTAACCCTTTGCTGACACACACTAAAATCCCTGATGTACACAATGAAATTTATTGAACCTTAATTCTTAGAGTACCACAATATCAATAGAACATGTATTACTTTAGCTATAACTGTATTATCTTGTAGTTCCTCTCTCTTGTTTTGTGCTAGTGATGATAAAAAAAAAGGTCCCACCCATGCCAGTCTAGCTTTGGCGCTTATCTTTTCTTTTGCTTGACAGGGAAAACACCCAGTGTCACTCACAACTGGCAACATACAAAGGGCCAGTACATGTCAAAATATATATCATACTCAAAAGAAAAATGTGATTATATGAGATTTTTTAAACTTAATTGTCACTTAAAATGAATATCTATGTTGAATATTTAAGCTCTCATTTTATATCAGCCAGTGTGAGAAAACAGAGTTCATTTTCTTATAAACAGCGACTTTTGTGAAGAACTTTTTCTCTCACACTTTAATCATCCAGCAGATATGCTTTTAGTAGTTTATATTCCAAAAGATGTGTCATTAACATTCTTCTCAAAATAACACTGTAAATTTTGATGTGGGCCATGAGCATAGACAGAACTTATCAGAATCTCAAAATTTTCAACAAAGTCAGACCTAATACATATTATAACTTTAAACAGTGGAGAAGTGCAGAAGGAATTTTATTCTGTTACCTTTGAGCCGATCTGGTTGCCACATTGTCCAATCTGCAGATGTACAATTTCACGCATGATGGCCGGGCTACAGTACATAGAGTAGAGCAGCTGGGGTCTCTGATAGGATACAGTGCTAAAACTGGTCTTTTATATAGTACCAGAAATGATGATGTCATCAGGGAGTCACCCCAGCTTTTCGTCTATGAAGGTCCCATAATACACTATATAATGTATAATAATAATAAGTATATATTATTTTTTTTACGTGCAGGAGTTTGCCTTGCTTTTATACTACAGAGAGTTATACTTGAGTTTAATTAAGTTTAGTCCACTATATTGTACAATGCTATCTGTTGTCTTCTATCCTGTGTTCTGCTATATTTCTATATGTATAACTGTATCTGTACATTATATATGATGTCAAAATGCAATAGAATGAATATTTTTGCTTCACAAAACCATAGTTTAAAACTGACAAAGTCATCTGGACGGTATTATATATAATATATAATACTATAATTAATATTGATATAATATTATAATTCCTATAGTGATTTATGTAACACTATGATGTAAAAGGACTCAGTCAATTTATAATATATGAACTATCTGCTATTTCAGAGGAAAACGGTGGTGTGTTATTTTCTCCCTATGCCCTATACACATCTGTGAGCTGTATGATCTATATGTACAACTGAGCAAAAACAGGATAGAAGTGTTTCAAAGATGAATGGAGACAGAGTGTGTCTCTGGTGAGCATCAGAAAAAACTCACTTTATTAAATACACTGATTACACACGAACACACATACATTTCAAGCATGTTGTTCCCGTGTCTGACAGGAAACATAGAAAAAAATGTTTTAAAATGATAAAATTGCAGATACATAAAAAAAAAAGAAAAAAAGAAACTCAAAATGAAATTGTTCAAAAAATGGTAATGTGACACTTTTCTGCCTTTTCACAGCAGGATTTTGATAACATGACCCAAAAATAATACAAAATAATCAGGATTTCCGTTTTAGTTATTAAGTCAGTGTAGGTGTAATAATAATGGCATAAAATGGACAGTTGTTAAGAGATTATATATGAGGGATGCTACCATCTACAGGACTGACACAGGCATAACAGGGTATTATTATATCTATGTAGTTGATTTCATTTGTAATTTTAACGGAATGTGTTGAGAATGTGTTTATCACCATGATAATGTTGCTAAATCTGTTAGCAGATCCATGAAAGTAAGCAATTATGTTTTGTTTTTGGTGTTGTATGGGTTTTTTGTCTATATTTTTTTCCTCTGTGTATGTACAGAATAATGTACTTAATTATTTAATGTCATATAAAGCTCACAAGGCCACTAGTTAAACCTGACACTGTATTACTGTATAAAGTAATCCAATACTATGATGATTATGCATCATCATGAGACAACAGGCCTCTGGGTACAGACATGTACAAGGCCCCCCAACCCTCTTACATAGGAGCCCCAGACTGAAGGATACACAAAAAAAAACTCCAAACAGAATTTTTATATCATTTTGTGTCTCCTTGTAGTACTTTTGTGTCTTTTTGTGGTTGTATTATGTCTCTTTAAAGACATTTTGTGTCCTTTGTTGTAGTTTTACATCTCTTTCTGGTCATTTTGTATTGTTTTTTTGTCTCATTGTAGTCATTCTGTGTCTTTCTATAATCATTTTGTGCCACTTTGTTGTAGTTTTGCATCTCTTTGTGGTCATTCTCTGTCTCTTTGTAGTTGTTTTGTGTCTCTCTGTCATTGTAGTGTCTCTTTATGGAACTGGTACTGTCATTTTGTGTCTGTTTATGGTCATTTTCTGTCGTTTTGTGCCTCTTTATTGTAGTTTTGCATATCTTTGTGCTCGTTGTGTCTCTTTGCAGTTGCTTGATTGACTTTCGAACAAGAAATGCTAACTCTCCTCAAACACACGCACGGGCCCATTCAGTGATACAGTACATGTATGATGATGATATACAAAAGGAAACTGAAAGCTCTCTATTACTGACACAGACGGGAATGCTTGCTTGTCATATGGTGCTGTGGTTAATAAGTATATTTTCATTTTTCATTTTCATTTATTTATTTATTTCATTTTCATCATTTACCAGCCATTGCACCACTGTTCACAGGCAGACCAGTGAAACTGTGTGGGAATTCACCCACAAGTCATTTCTTCTTTTACAGTTGTCTGTTGGGGTTCATTAGAGAGCCACAGTAGCATTTAGTTGTCATTGATGACCTTTATGTGTTTTGCCCTGAGCTTCTTTCCCTTGTCTTTTGACGTATTTGTGGAGGGAGGTGTTTGTGTGTATATGTGTGCGTGTGGCAGTCCGTACAGTACATGTATCTGTGGGTGTATGATTTGTGATGCACACAGTTTGCATGCTTGCGTGTTAGAGCTAAAGGAGGAAAAGCCATTACAAGTTTAAGAAAAAAAACCTTTCAGATCACCATTAGGTGAGTTAAACTGACAGGACATCCGGATTTTATTCTCAATGTTTCTCAAACCATATTTATCAATTTAACTAATGCTGTAGCTGTCTTCAGAGTTCATGGAAACTCTTCAGTGAATTAAACCCAAATGTTGATATCCACAATGTAAAATTTTGTGTATATTACACATAAAACCAAAGATTTGTAGCACTGAAAGAGATGAAGAGATTTGGTAACATTGTAATTTGGTAATAAGTAAGGTAGAAGTAAACATAAGTAGAAGTAAAGGTGATGGTAATAATATTTTGGTTTTTCATCAGATTAAGGGATTCATAAAAGGTCTAAGGATTATTAGTAAACTGTCAGTCCACCACAAGCCTCCAGAACAGTGTCAGTGCTGCTCAGCATACTGCTGATAATGAGTGTCTGGATCTCTGTTGGAGGGACAAACACCATTCCTCCAAAAGATATTCCCTCATTTGGTGTTTTGATGACGGTGACGGAGAGCACTGACTAACACGTCAGTCCAAAATCCACCATAGATATTCAGTTGGGTTGACATCTGTTGACAGCAGAGGTGGATGAAGTTATCAGGCCCCTACTCAATTAAAAACACAAATACAACAGGGTGGTAAAGTAAGAGTGTCATGGCTGTCAGCTCAAGAACAGACCTGATGTCGACCTGCACGCATATGCAATAGAGCAGGGGAAGCGTCGGCCAGAGCAGTTGACCCAGGAACAGGCTTGAGAATAGGTGAGTGGTCAGCAGGGGCGGTTGACTCAGGAACAGACAGTATGTTGGTAGGAACAGCCAACCCAGATTCGGCTGAGCGTGGATTGTGGTGCAAGGCAGCAGAGGCTCATGGTTGCTGGACTGCTGAGGCTCTGTATCACTGGGCAGCTTGGGAACTTGGGTCTGAGGCTTGGGATGATAGTAGGAACCCTGGGGCTGAGTCTTGGGCTGACTCCTGGAAACCTGGGGCTGCGTCTGCTTGTTTGGAATCGACATCTCTGTGACCTTTCTTGAAGGCGCTCTGACCCTTTCGATACCTCCAAGGAAAGGCTAGGCGAGTTCTGCAGAAAGGAGACTCAGGGTAGGCCTGGATGCAGTCTGGAGGCCAGGGTGCAGTTGGCTAGTATGGTAGAGGCTAGTCGACAGGGATGAGGACTGGAGGTTAGCATGCCGGGGTGCAGACTGGAGGGTGGCAAGCAGGAGGCTAGCCGACTTGGAGGCAGGCTTGAGTGCAAGCTTGGAAGAACGTAGGGAACCAGGCTGGGAGCTAGCTGATCTGATTCTAGCTGACTGGGAAGCTGGTTTGTGGTTAGAAGGCCAAAGGCTAACCGACTGGGGTGCTGGCTGGGGGGATTGTCTGCTAGGCCCATACTGGTCAGTTCACACTGATGAGAAGTTGAGTATGTCTGGGACCCAAATGTAGACACAAAAGCTGGCTGGTTGAGTTTGACGATTTATTTAACAAAAGAAAAACACACTCACTTTAAAGGTGAAAAACCTGGGATCAGGCAGGAACACAACAATGGCAAAATTGTAGAAATAGTTTTAAAACAAGTTATATCCACAAACTCCATCTGTAACACAGACACAAACTAGTTTAGCCTTACCATACATACTTACACATGTGAGCAAAAATATTTATTCAGATATTCAATTTAATCCAAATTGCATTTTCCAGTTTTCTATTACACTAAATTCAACATCTTTAGGTTATTGACTGTTGGTCAGACAAAACTAGCAATCTACTTTTATTAACTGGGCTTTATGGAATAATGATGGGCATTTTTCAAAATTTTATGACATTTTACACTGAAACAATTGATTATTAGAGAAATGATTGTCAGATGTATTGATAATGAGAACAATTGTTGGTTGCAGCCTTACAGTACTTCTATGATACTACCTTACCACGGTATTTTTTGTGCGTTAATCACTCGACACAGAAGAAAATGGAAGCAGTTTGACGCAACACAGTAAAGAGACTTTTGGGGGCCCTGGGGGGTCTGTGGCCTCTGGACAATTTTGAACATTTGGTAATCCAACTTTGACCATGAGGTTTGGTGGGTGAGGCAGTTTCAACAGTGATGCCACGACCACAGCTGGGACATTTCACCATTCACACAGTGAACTATGTATACATCATTCAACCTGAACCCACCCACATTTGTTTTAGTATTTTTATTGTTGTTATTAAATGTATGTGAACCATTTCCTGTTGTTGCTCATGTGTATGGATAATTTTTATAATTTAGTCTATGGGTTTTCAGTGTTATTGATTAATGTTTCATGGGTGGATCGGTTAATAATCATTTTGCTTCAAAGAGGGCGCCTCTCCCCTTCTGTACCTCTGCTTCATGACGCTCCGGGCAATCATGTGATTCGACCCTGCATCAAGCCACAGCAAGGAGGGAACCGGAAAGACCGTAATCTTAACTTCAAACTAAAAGCAACACATTTCTCTCGCCGACCAGAAAAGATAAAAGTAAAGATTTTGATTGTTAGTGGATTTGCCTCTTTATTTGCTTTTGCCATGAAGTATAAATATCTTCTATGTTAAGAAGAAAAAAATCTGAATTATAATAATCTAATGTTAATAATAATGCTGTCTTGATATACAATGTGCTACTTTGGAGTAAGCTATTTGTAAAACAAAGAAAACAAAAACAAAAGCTTTGTGAGCATTATAATTATATCAGTAATTTATGTGATTGTTTTATATTCTTTATAGTTTATAAATAATAATAAAAAAAGTATTGATGGCACACATTGTATCCACATATTAACCTAACCTACCTTGTACTTATCCAGAGGTGTAGAGATTTTACACTTCACTACATTTCAGAGGGAAATGTTGTATTTTGTCTCTGCTGCATTTTGCTAGCAGCTCAAGTTACAAGTTACTTTTAGTGTAAGATAAGTGTAAGTATTTTTAAAAACTTGATAATCTTATAAAACACAATAACTGTAAAGATGAAACCAGCTGTTCCCAATCATTTTGACTGTGGATTTCTCTTTTAAAAATGTCTAGTTACAGTTCCTTGTCACATTTTAGATGACTATGAGTTGTCAGCAACAACTGTTTGAGGCCCAAAGAGGTCAAACCAATTACTAAACTATTTAGTCAATAGGCCTAAATAATTTAAACTAGCTTCAATTTGACCAGCTGTATAAGTAAAATGCTGCTTACACATTGCTGTATGTATGTATGTGTTAACAAGCTAATGATGGTATACAGTAGGCTATAATCATAATATTACAGTCACAGGAACTATTTTGCACAAGGCCTTTTAGTTTAATATTTCACATACATTGGGCTAGTAATACAGGGCTAGCTTGTAAGGAAGTCTTATTACATTGCTGTATTACTTTTACTTACTTATTTCGCCACTGTCAGATCAGATGAATGAATCCTACATATTTTCTGAAAAAAAGACTTCTGTGTGTATAACAAATGTATATTGTTTTCATAAAATGCAAAATTGATTGACTTATTGATTGACTTACTATGTTTAGCTAGTTTATTGAGTCTCTTTGTTGTCATTTTGTGACTCAGTGACTCCAGTTTGCAATCTTAGAAGTTGTTTTGTGGTCATTTTGTGTCTCATGTTGCATCTTTTTGTGGTTGTTTTGTGTCTATTTAAGATTGTTTTGCATCTCTGTGATTTTTGTGCTCCTCTGTGGCTGTTTTGGATCTCTTTTTGGTCATATTTCTTTTCTTTGCAGCCATTTTGTGCCTCTTCATGGTCATCTTGTGTCTCTGTTGTCATTTTGCACCTCTTTGTAGTTGTTTTCTGGTAGTTTTGCATTTTTTGTGATCTTTTGTATCTCTTAACTGAGCTCTTTGACTTTCAAACATAAATACAAACATATTCATGCACTTCATATAGAGGATCTGGCCCTTGGGTGCCCTGACCTCATGGGTCCCTGGACCTGCGCCCAGTAGGGCTGTTCAATAATCCATCCATCTATGCTGATCTGTAAAGCAGAGTGAATTATTCATCAACCATTACTAAAACCGTACAGCTTAAACAGCATTTATAAATGGTGCCTCATCAAAAAGTGGTAGACTGCATTAGTTGTAGCCAGTTGTACCTAATAAATTGGCAACGGAGTGTGTATTGGGCACGAAGCTTTGATTGGTGCTTTATTTTGAAAGTTGCAATCGGAAGACGAGTTTGTCGTCCCGGAAAACTTGACCACCGTTCTTCGTTCCCAGGGTTCCGTGAGAGCCGTTTGCCCCACCCCACCTCTTCAACGCTATCTATCTCAATGTACAATTCTCAGAGAAAAACGGGGGCAAAAATAATTCAGAGTTATTCTACAAAGAAACGTTTCTCATTTCCCCGACCGGTTTATCGGAGCAGACGCGGCCTCTCGGCGGTAAAGATGAGTGTCTCGCCGCTGGATCAGTGATTGAAAACACCGCGGTATGTTCATGTATCATGCACATGTAACCATAATCTACCATACGGATTCAAAGGGAATACAAAAAGCTGAGAGACTTGACAGCGGGCTGTACCTGCGCCAAACGGGAAAATAACGGAGGATTTCCACGAATATCACCTGGATATTGCGTTATATTCAAGGACATCCAGCTGCCAAAAACCGCCTTTGCTCGCCCGGAGAAGCTTTCCGATGTGAGGAGAAATACAAATTAACGTTACGGAGAGAAAAAGGACGGAGAAGGGGCCTTTTTTTGGGTCTGGTCAAACCCTCCGAAAAGGCAAGCACCAGCATCTGTTGACGGGGAGATGAAATAATTTTGACATCGACTAAAAACAGGATATTATTGATAAGGTTGCTAACAGCCCACCCCTCCACCCTCCAAAAAAAAAAAACGGTGTATAATGTGACGGATTTGCGATAGAGAAAGAAGCCCCGGTGTAGCCTGATGATTCACATGCCGTCATTTTAAGAGGAAATATTTATTTTTTAATTTTTTCTCAACCGCCCTCTCATGTGCTTTGGTTAGGTGGAGAACGTATTGCAAACAACCCCTAAAAATAATAACCTAAAATACATATTTAAAGGGGGGGAAAAAAAGGTCGAGAAAAAATAGGGCTTTGGTTGTGAGTGGAAATGAATTGAATGGCAGTGTGAGATATCTGCCGAAGATGGGCTCCGGAGGAGACGTTTGCTAAGAAAATTAAACATAACAGGGTGAAAATATATACGTTTTAAAAAGGCCAGCGTTTGAATCGAAAACACCTTTTACGGAAACAGGACCACCGACGTTCATTCATGTGCATTGCAAGGCTGGAAATTTCACATCCACTCTCATATCAATGTTGATGACTTCATTGCGGATTTACAGTGAAAAACACAGGAATCAAGCGTCTTAGAGGGCGGCATCGTTGTTCTGCTCCTTTCTGACTGATCTCTTGTTGATTAATTGCCAGTAAATAGCCACATCCATCCATACATACTGTGCCAAAGCCTGGTGGGGCCCACCGTCTACTGCCTAACGGGTTTACATCTGATCCATCTGCATCTGGCAACATAAATGTCACCCATTTTGAGCCAGGTGTTCCTCTGCTGGGCCAGTCTAGGAATTTAGGATCCATTGATTTTCTTCTGATCACCACCCTCCCTCCTTCCTCTCTCCCTGCACCCACCTGCCCACCCACCCAACAAACCAACCAACCAACCAACCAACCACCCTGCCTCCCCCTGAACCTAACACTGGGTTTTTGGGAAGATGGGCTGTCTTGGCAATAGTAAGACCGAAGACCAACGAAATGAGGAGAAGGCACAGAGGGAAGCCAACAAAAAGATAGAGAAGCAGCTTCAAAAAGACAAACAGATATACCGGGCGACTCACCGGCTACTACTATTAGGTAGGTCTTGTGAAATTTATCATTAATATCAGTGTGTGTGTGTGTGTGTGTGTGTGTGTGTGTGTGTGTGTTCATTTTAGGCCTGAAGGTCCATTTTTTCCAATTGCTGCACCCACAAAAGCATACAAGTGTATTTTCACCTGTTTATACACATATAAAAACCATTGTTTCAGATTAAACGACAACTTCCTCAGCCTTTACCAGTGAAGCATCAACAAATGATGCAATGACATGAAGTCACTACACCACCAGTTTGCAGCGTCTTGACACAGGACAGCTGAAAATCAGGCCTTTCTCCTGCATTCATGGGTTATTATGGAGCATGATTACAGAACATGTGAGAGACGCTGGACAGACAGACAGCTGCTCAGGCACCATGCAGAGGAGAGAGGAGGGAACCAATAGGCATTTTTGCATTGTGTCTTTTATCCACACATGTAAACTGCAAAATTTGCGATGTGGGTGCGGGTTAGATGTCGGATGCCTTCACCTTGAGTTATTTGGGCAAATGGACTTTAATGTTTAATGCTGTTTTTCAGACTCACCTTTGCATGGCCCTCTCCACACCAGCCACTCTGGAAATGGATATTCTCTAATCAGCTCTTGAAAACTATGCCATTTTTTTTTTTTATTCACAACACTATGTGTAGCTTCATCATCTAGGCCTCCATGTCATGCCACAGTGAATGAACCTAGGGCCAGGGCTAGTATCCTGCTAAGCCTCCTGGAGTGCGGAGAGCAAATTAGGATTACTATTAGTATTACTAGCTTCCCTTGAATGACTGTCGCGTTCATTCTAATCTGAAATTGATCCTAGATTTGTACACTCACACTTAAAACTCAAAATAGCAGGCCTGTAGCCTAGCTAGCTCCTAGTGTTTGGGCTAGTTGATGTTATGGCCTGGCTCCTTTCATTTTCAGTTTGCAAGGACACATTTAGGACTTATTCTCTTCTCATACGGGATTTATGGAAAATTACATTTCCTGGATCCTTAAAAGTATTTATGAGGGTTTTGGTCCATCGGTCCTGGATGACATCTCACTTCTGCTCAAAGAAATAAAACAAACAAAAACACTTAAGACAATATTCAAAGCAGATCTCGTCTGCGAGCAAGGCTGATTGTTCTTCTACTCACCCCCGATGCTGAGAGTTCTTCAGATCCGTCAGTATTTAAGTCGAAGTACCAACACAACAGTGTAAAAACACTGAGTGCAAAAGTCTTGCATTCAACCAAGTACTGATATACAGAACTTATTATAAGCAAAATGCACTTCAAGTATTAAAAACAAAATGAAAAAAAATACTACAGTGCAGAAGTAGCATTTCACTGCCAAATATAATTATAGTATATAATATATAACATAAGACATACATTTCTCTTGTGTTTGTGTTTTGCTAAATAATGGACAGTTTTATCTCTTAGGACTGCGAACCTTTGCAACGCATAGACAGTTGGACACTGCTTTTTTTATTTTTTATTAGTGGTCATAAGCCAAAAAGGTTAGGAGCCACTGCTTTTAATCTGTAACAGTGCATTGTATATTAGGATCTTATCATGTGTTTTATATCTATATATATATATATATACATAGATATATAGATATAAAATCTTAATCTGAAAAATAACTAGTGAGTCAAATAAATTTAGTGAAGTATAAAGTAGCATGAAATGGTTGAAATTATACTTAGATACAGTACTTGAGTAAATACACATGGTTACGTTCCACCACTCAGAAGAACAGGCAAGCCTCACCCACCGCTTTGATTGGCTCTTTTAAGGTCTCACCATCTTGCTCGGCTCCAGCATTATTGCTTTTGTATTACATAGAGCACTGTGAAGGAACGAGGAGTTTAGGCGTGGGACAGTGTGGGTGCTGTGTCCGACAGGACCTCTGTTTTGAGAAATAAAGCCCTGACATTCAAATCACTTGTGGATAAAATCTTAGGCATGAAGTTTGTAGCTCTTCGCCTTCATCTTCTATTTTTCTGATGTTCCACCAAGCCACCAAAATGCTTTTTCCTCCAGGGATCCAGTGACATGTTTTAAACCATCATTCACCATGTTCAGATGGATCCTCGCCTTGGGTATTTTTTATTTTTATTTTTTTTTTAAAGGAGTTTTGTACGATTATAAATATCTTCCTTTCCTCTTTCTGCTTTCAGGGGCCGGTGAATCCGGGAAAAGCACGATAGTCAAACAGATGCGAATATTGCATGTTAATGGCTTCAACGCAGAGTAAGTGTTGGTTTACCTCATTCTTTATCTCCGCACACCTACAGCACATTCAGTTCACTTCACACACACACACACACACACACACACACACACACACACACACACACACACACACACACACACGCTGTTCTGGTTTTGACAGGATCAGGTATGAAAATATTTGTTACATCCTTCATCCAATGTGATGACGTGATTCGGGGGAGGACAATTGATGCTTTCAGAAAATACAAATGATAGGACAAGACCTTTAGTGACACTGATGCCAAGCAGGTAGAGGCAGTCCATGTCCACTTCCCTCACTAAAAAGTTAGTAAGGAAGTTTAAAATGTAAAATTGTCAAAAATGGTTGTGAGTGACATCATCAGGACATCAACAAACAACGTGGCTTTTAGAAGACAGAAACACAGTCGAGACAAGACACAAGATTTAGTCTGTGAAAGAGGCTGGATGGATTCAATATTCACATTGTATTTTGGCACGTATAACTTGTGCATCTTAATCTTTAAACTGTAATTTTACCATCATGCTACATTGTTGATTAAAATAAATAGTTGCCATTGCAGTTATTTTTCATGCAAAAATGTCAATATCCTTTGGTTTCAGCTTCTCACATAGAAGCAGTCACTGTTTTTCAGTGTGTTTATATCACATCTATTCAGCTGATGTCATAGTAAATTAAATTTCTTTGGGGTTTGGACAGTTGAGTGGACAAAACAAGGCATATGATGAACTTGTGATGAGCTTCTTTCTTCCCTTTTTTTTTTTTTTTTTACCATTTTGTGACAATACAAATTGCTTTTCCTGGTAAAGAATAATAGAGCAGCTTTGGAACTGCTTTTAGTTCTTGTTCATACAGCAAAACAGATTTTGATCATCTTTTTGTTCTGAAATATGTTTACTTGTGTCCTGGGACAGTTTGGCCAGTGTAATGTCAATTAGCAGCTGTCGTCCTCAGTCAGGAAGTAGAGACATTTTCTTCCTTATTTTTGTAATATGACACTGATATATAATCGTGCTGGTTATTCATAGAAGAATTCACAGTGAATTTGTAGACATGAGGATGTATAACTTGCTTTGCTAGTATATTTATTTTCTTCCATTGGCAGGGAGGAGACGGATGCTTGTCATTGTTTTAAGAAACTGAACAATATGGTCCAATAAAGAAAATGAAGTCAAATGTTTTGGACAGATTTTTGTAGTGTTTTGGAGTAAATAGTCAAAGTTGCGTGACGCAAGAAGAATGCGTCTATCTGTTTCAGGTTTTCATGGAAACATTGCCCTGGGTGCTTTCAAGCCACCCTTTCTTGTGAATTTCCTAAAACCCAATCCCACCATGTTGATGCAATGGAAACAAAAGTCACATTTTTCTATTCTTAATCATCTGTTTCCTAGAAAGGGGTTTTGGAGTAGGATCAGGAGGAGTTGGGCATCATCATGTGCTTATTTTTGGGTCATGTCGAACAGATGCTCCTCACAGACGCAGACGTTCTGGTGTAATGACAAACCCATAGTCGGCTGTGACTCCCCGGTCGCATTTAGCCTCCGGGGTTTGTTGCTCTCTTTGGGCCAGGGGGTTTAACCTTGCTGGGTTTCCCCTCCGGGTGTAGGTCGGTGCCACCAGTCTGTGCAAGGTGCTGGGAGGATGAAGAGGATGAGGACAGGAGGAGACGATAGGGAGTGACACAGTAAAATAGGAGATGGAAGGAGTTGAGAGTTGAAGTGAGAAGAGATTTGTCATGGCAAGTGGGTGTTCTGTTCTGTTTTGTTATTTTGGTGGGGTGCTAGTTTGTCTTTCTGTCTTTGGTCGTACTGCTGTACAATTAATCAGTTATCAAAATAGTTGCTGATTGATTTATTTTTGCCTATTCTATCAATTAAGTGATGAATCGGCTGATCGATGCAGCTCCACCTGTGAGAAAATGTCCATCATAGTTTCACAGGGTCTAGAGTGACATCTTCAGATATTCTTGTTTTGTCTGAGCGACACTCCAAAACCCAAAGATATTCAATTTACTATCACAGAAGACAAAGAAAACCAGCAAATTATTAACATTTGAGAAGCTGAAACCATAGTTTGTTTGTTTTTTGGGCATTTTTTTTAAAATGCGTTAAACAAATAATTATTTATTAAGATTGGTGCGGTTTAATGTTCTGACGATGGAGTAATGAATTAATTGACCAATCCTTGCCTGAAAGTTTCCATCCCAAAACACTGCAGCAGCATTATCAGCTCTCTTTACAACACCGGACCTGTTTGAATCGCTGAAGAGTCGGAAATGTGGGCGACGATTCGGACGTCTTGAACCAGGCCAAAAAAATGATACAAGACTTCCTTCCACATGATTAATGATGATGATTCTTTAAATGTCTTGAGTATCGTCTGAAAGCACCAGTTGTCACGTCTAATCCGTTTTCACATAATTGAAATTGAGGTATGAGGTGAGAAATATGGAGATATTTCACTTCGTCAGTAAAACCAAACAAAAACAGACAGTTAAAGATGTTCACTAACACAGAGAGACTTGTCCGTTTAGGAAATCTAAAAAGCGTTTCCAAGCTGAAACTTGGTGTTGTCCTCTGCGATATCCTTAGTCAGGCTTACGTTTCGATTACAGCAGCATGCTGTGATGCTGATAGTGTCACTTTTTCAGCAAAGTCACTTTGGACAAAACACATTCATTATCAGAAGATACTCATCTGTGCTTTTCATTTGAAATCGTTCTGCTGAACATAGGTGTGATAGACTTTATGTCCGTCTTCTTTTCACTGCTGCTGAAATGTGAACAAAATATACTGTAACACAACTGTGCTCACATACGGGGCACGTAATGCTTAGTAGCGTGTTGCTCTGAAATATCCTGAGATGTTTCAGATGAAGAAATCACACCATCCAGGTTCCTGATTGTGTAAACAGCTCTGAGGTTGTTTCATTTGGGGGAATTTCGGTATCAAATCCTGAGTTTCAATAGTCGAACTTGTCTTTTGTCAGGACATTTGAAAGAATTTAACACTTACACTGGCAGCGCTGGTTTCTGAAAGACCTGAGTGACGTCAGACCTTTACTACTGGTTATCAGTGAAGCCCACAGGTTGCATAACCTGAGCGCCATGCTGTGTGGTGATGCTGAAATTCAGTTTGTCTTTACAACAATAAATGGACAAAATAAGGAGCCTATCATTGTATTGGCCAATACTTTGGATTCTGCTTTGTGCTCACAGTAGGTTGAAGTTAAAAATTGCTCTGCCTTTTTTTCTGTGTAATAAATGTTTTTGGCAAAATCAGTTCTGCTGTTCTCATATGGTATCAGCAAGTGCACAAAACTCAGGACTTGCACCTGGTCAGCAAAATAAAGGTATCTGCACCTGGAGCAGCCATAACACTGATGTCTGATATAATTTACCTCCAAGCTGACAAAAAGATGCTGGAGGATTTTGTGTTACACAGCACATTCCTACTGAACCAACTGCAAAAACAGAAGAAACAAAACATTTCTTTACCATTATTTCTGGAATAATTGGTGTTTTTTTTTTTCAAGCTGTACAAAAAAAAAATAACATGAGTTTGTCTTTGTTCTTCACAGGGAGAAAAAACAGAAAATTCATGATATTAAAAACAACATTAAAGAAGCTATAGAGGTAAGAAATTGAACTTTTGACCCATTTTAAATGATAACATCTGATGTTTGAGATTTTTTTTTTTCTTTTACTGTTTCTAGCACTTATCATGGTAGCAGCTACGATAAAGAGATCTGATCATTTCCGACACTATAAGAGAATAATAAGACAGAAGATCAAGAAAAAAGGAACAATCATGGACCACAACACAACCTGTGTCCTGTGAAAATTAATCAATTATCTATAAAAACTACTTAAAAGCATAAAAGTCAAAGTGGTTATAAATTATCACTGGCGTTGTTGGGCAATAACAGAGCTTTGCTTAACAACTGACAGTTTTCAGAATGCTTTTAAAATATTGAGTAATAAACTTTTTCCTTAAAAATGATTATACAGTGGCGCTGACATGAAGCTGCTCATGAAGTGTAGATGTGGAAGGGCTGATTGTTCACCCTGTTGTACTGTAAGTGTCTCAGTGTCGATAGGTTTTTATATTAATTGTTGTGTCAAATTTTCTTCCTCTGTCCTCTCCATGCAGACGATTGTGGCCGCCATGAATACGCTCACACCGCCCTGCCAGTTAGCCTGTCCTGCAAACCAAACCCGAATCGAATATGTCCTGAACCAAGTAAACCAGAAGGATTTTGAGTTTCCTTCGGTAAGTTGCACATTATTTCTTTGAGATACGTTGGCTCGCTGTGACTTCTATAGCAGTTTGTCTCATTCCTTTTTCAACTCATCAACTCCGATTTTATCTTAACAGCCACTTTTAGTCTCATGTCACCTGGAGGTCCATGAAAGTGCCCTGTCATCAAAGTCTTACATTTTATTACCAAAGGCAGTTTATAATGAATGGACCAACAGCTGAAGCAAAACTTATGGCACATTTATATGTGATTTTACTAACTGGTCCTGCACTTTGTTCACAGTTTTTGTGTTTAGTGTTTAACCCAGCATCACTGCTGCAGGACCTTCAATAGGTTATTTTGTATTTAACTTAATCAAAGCTGAAACAATTATTGACAAATATTAATCTACAGCAATTTTGATAATAAATTGATTTTTATTATTGATTTCAAAATTCTTAGTTTTCACAGCCTTAAATGTGAATATTTGCTGGTTTTGTCATTTTAAACTGAAAATGTTTTGGTTTTGGACTGTTGTCGGACAAAATAAGACATTTAAATATGTAAACTTACAGATTGTGAGGTGCATGTTTCACAATTTTGGGATATTTTATCAACCAAATGAATCATCTGTAGATGAATTGATAGTGCAAATAATTGTTAATTAGCTGCAGCAATAAACTTAATTCTATTTTTAAAAATGAAGTTGCAAATCTTCATAGCAGCCTGGTTTATACTATCCAGCTGATAATGCAAATCAGCTACGTTTATGCAGATTTATTTCATCAATAGATATTTATCAGGTGTTTTATCGTAACATTGGTATAAAAATTTGAATGTAGCTGCTGTAAAATGTCTCAGAGCATGAACTCCAGCCGTCCTGGCTAGGTGTGCCGTAGGTGAGTGAGGTACCTCACACAGCAGCCTTTATGCGTCCGCCTGGCGTGTTTGCGCAGTGATTCAGTAATTAGCAGGTGTGCTCCCGCTTGGGAGGCTGTCAATTGAATGAGCCTCTCACCTGAGAGATCCACACCGCCTATTAACACTGATTGTCTGTAATAATCCTAAATGTGTCTAGAGGGACTTGTCCTCCAGAAACACAGAGACTCTGAGGGATTCCCCCTGAGCTGCCGTCTGCTCCCGGCGGCCTGTCAGGCAGCCGCTGCAGGCCCCACTGCTGGACCATATTTATCTATTAATTTACCGACGTCTTCTGGATCATTTTCAGAGTTTAAAACTCATGTTAAGGATCAGATGATCAAAGAAATTTTACCCCGTTTTAGACGGTTAAGCTGAGACCATCCTGATAACATCTGCGGGTCATCCTGCTCAACTGTGCAGGGACAGGCGTCTGACCTGGAGCGACAGAATCTGGTTTCTTGAGAATATTTTGCAGATGTGTGTATTATGTAAGGAGGTCCTGTGGACTTCACAGTAGTTCAGGTAAAACAGCATGGCCAAAAGACCCAAACTGAAGTTGTACTCCCGCACAACACCATCGATAAAAGAAGTTATACATCAGTTCGATTAACGAGTCCATTGATCAGCTCTCACAAATGGTAATAAGACTGTCACAAAGCGCTGTTAAACTGAGTGCTGTCAGTTCTCAACACAACTTAACGCTGCTCATAAAAATCTGGGGGATAAACTGTTGCATCAGTGATGAAACATTTCAATCGAGCTGGAACAATTTAATCCATTAATTGATTAGTCAATCAACAAAAATAGATAAATAATTGATTTGTCTTTTAAGGCTTTTTTTTTTTTTTTTTTTTTTTAAAAAAAAAAAAAAAAAAAAAAATTGTTTTTTTTTTTAGGGTTTTTTTTTTTTTTTTTTTTTTTTTAACAAAAATGCGAAACATTTCCTGGGTCCAGCTTGTTACATGTGAGGATTTGCTGCTTTTCTCTGTTTTATATCATTGTATAATTTAATATTTTTGGACAGCCGGTTGAACAAAACAAGACATTTCAGTATATCATGTTGTGCTTTAGGTGACAGGTGTTTTTCACTATTTTCTGACATTTTGTAGACACATGATAAAACAATTAATCGAGAAAATAATCAGCAGATTAATCGATAATGAAAATGAATTATTTGCAGCTCTGTTTTTCTGAAATAAAACATTGCCTTTTTTCAGTATGTAAGTGAAAGATCATGCATTTGATTTAGTCCTTGAACAAATGTAATGGAGATATTTTTAATCTCTTTCACCTCACATATCATTATAAACTCAGTTTATGTATTTTAAATTCTAGTTAAGATCAAAGGTTTTCAAAGGAACCTGTTCAAATTTCTAAAATTGGTACAAAACTTCTGATATTTCATGTTTGTTTTTGTTTTTCTCAAATGAAAAGAAGTTTTAATCGAGCTGTATCTACTGATGTAATATTGTCAAACATAAGTAGAGAATGAAAGAAAGAAAATGTGTAACATTATTTAAGTCGTTAAATATCATTTTAATTGTTTTCTAATATGGGAGTTGTTCTGCAGAGGAAGAAGAACACTGTGTCTGCCTTGTTTTTTGTTTTTTGTTTTTTTTTATTTACAGTATCTTTAGCAGCTGAATTTCCAGTGAAGTGTGTGTGTATTTGTGTGTAAGCAAAAGGAAGTCTCCTGATGTTGTCTCTGTTACGTCATGGCAAATTTATTATGCGGGCCTATCTCGAGCTGACCCTTCCCTCGGGCTGTCAGGCCGTCACTAGACTTCCACTGAAGACCTGCAGGGTCTCTGTGCAGGGGGAAGACCAGCACTCGCACTTTGATCTCACACTGAGTCTTGGTCTCTTTCATGTGTGGTGCGCAGGGTTGGAGCAGGTGTAAATGTGGTGCTAATGCTGTTGAAGTTGCAGAGTCACTGCTGTTATTTGAAACAGTGGCTTGAAGCTAAAGTTTAAATGAAGTATGAGGCAAAAAGTTTGGCTTTGTCTTAACTGATTCTTCCTGCTGAAGGGAATGGTTGGTTGTTTAGGAAAGAGAGTAGAGTAGAAAACATTTAGCCTCAGCCTCTCCTCTAACTCCTCCACCATCTCCTCCTCCTCCTCCTCCTCCTCCTCCTCCTCCTCTTCTTCCCGCTCCCCCTCGCCTGGCCTTAGGGCCTACTGGAAACCAGTTGGACTGGTTGACTCTGCCTTCAGCAGGGGAGGAAGAGACAGAGAGAGAATAAACACAAGGCCTGGATTGAATCTCCGAAGTCTCTTCTTGATTTCCCTTAGAGCTTTGTGTCTAATCAATAATCCTCCTAGTTATTATCCACCAAAAATATTTTTTCTCCTAATATATTAATAATAGAATGGACCACATTTTTTTGCAAGTTAAAAAAAAGAAAAAGAAAAAGTTTTTATTCCTTTGCAGACTGATTGCTGAGAGGCTCACCTGTCCTGCTCCCACTGCAGTACAGCGAAGACACCCTCTATCCTTAAAGAGGGATCCCTCTTCCAGGCTGTAGATGTTATGTATATACAGACAACACTGTCCTAACCCTTCACATACTGTAGCAGAGTTTCTGAAGTCTTGAATGTCTCTTAGAGTTGGTTGTAGTGAATGTGCGCAAAATTTTAAAATGCATTTCTTAGTTACTTGAGATACGTCCAAAATCTCACAATTGCTCAGCATCAAATTGAGGTACTCGCGCTGTGAAGGCGATTTGAACTGCAGATGGAAGACGGCAGCATGAAATAGGACTGGACCAATAAAATATATTTCCTTACAGACAAAAAGTGTTCATTATTAGTGCTCATTATATTCAAGTTTAAAAAAAAAACAAAACTATTTTTTATTTGGATTCTTCAGAACGGCCATATATTATAGATCTGCTTGGTGATCTGTGAATATGCATTTAATTGATGACTCCTCTGCGTATTGGTTGAATTGCATTTCCTGTCGTTTTCAGCTGTTTTATCAGTTTCAGATGAAATGACAATCAGCAAGTAAAACACACTCCATGCTTGACTCAGTAAAAAAAACAAAGTGACTCCGTGTGGCACATTTTCCATTTAAGAATGAAGAAGTTTTGAAAGTTTTTCTTGGAAACTGATGGACGTATATATATTTACTTACCACCTATATAATTTCCTTTTTTTTTTCTTTTTTTTTATGAACTCGAAAATAAAAATCAGGTACTTAATAACTGTAGCAACTAAAACTTTCCCTGATAATTAGTACCAAGGCCGTTCTGGGAAATATCCTTGTAATTAACAGCGAAATAAAAATGTATTTATTTTTTTAAATTTTTTTTTTCAGAAATTATGAGGAAAGTTTCCAGAAGATTACCTGTTAATTATGGGACTAAAATAAGGTGTTATCTTTCAACTGTTATCTAAAAAGCTGAGATTTTTTTTTATCCAAAGTTTGTCATGGCTGACACCAGATCTGTTTGATAACGTCAGTGTTGGGCCTATACCAATTTAGCATATGGCATCAGTGTATCCCTACTTTTATTTAAATAACACAAAAACATGTATCAAATTTGTACAGAGAGTGCGAGAAATTGACAGACTTTTTTTTCTCTGTGAATCCAGGTTAACTGCGAAAAAAACCCGACAGCCCAATATACAGTAAGTGAAATCATACCACTGATACATCACCTGGTGGAGTCCGCAAAATACATTTTCCTCAACCCAATTCTATAAATGGAATTTAATTCAAATCAAATGATTCACATGATTTCTGCGTGCAGGGTGTCTGTGGACAGGCCAGCTTCTCAGATATTTCTTAATTCAAAATTCTGTCACACTCCACGAATTGAATTCAACACGTGGCTATGAATAAACTTTACGAAAGTTCAAATGAAGCGGTGACAAAGAGAAATCGATGGAAAAGCCTGGAGTTGACCTTCTTGACCTTGTTGACCTCCGCTCTTGAAAATTCATTGTGTTTCTTTATTATTCTGTGGTGAGTCTGGTACTTGATTCCTGATTCCTTCCTCCTTAAGTAGGAAAACAAAAATCACTTTGGTTACACACTGAAATTTGCGTTGATTTTGTTTGATTTGTTGACTAGTTAATTAGGTTTGTCACTCTTTAAAGTCGTGTGTGAAACATTGACCTGTTGTTTTTTGTATCATTGACACTCTTCTCTGTACTAGTTTTGGCGCTCGAGTACTGTGTTCAGTAGATTCATTCAGATTAAATAAAATAGTTTTTCTTGCTGCCTTTTAATTATTAGATAGCTACTGTTCAACTTAACTTGAGCTGCAACTATTGTTTATGTTAATCTGAAATTTTTTTTTGTTCCTGATTAATTGTTTGAATGTCAGAAACTGTGTGAATGATAACTCCTACAACCCAGGGTGATGTCTTGAAATTGTTTGTTTTGTCTGAATGACATGCCAAAAATATATTACAATAGCCTATATTATATTAGTTATGAAATCGATTATTAAAATAGTTTCTGATTCATTTTCTCTAGATCAGTTAATCAGATAATTGTTTCTGTTCAGTTCCCACTTCATGTCACAAAGTCTTGTTTCCATTTTCTTTAGCAGAAACTGTCTGGAAAGTCCCAAGCGCAATTTTCCAGATGTCTTGATATACATCATAGATACATATTCATATATGGACCTTAAATGAATTATATTTTTAATCCGTTAGTCCATCCATTCTTTCATTCAATAATTCATTCATTCATCCATCCATCCATTTTGTGCTGCTTACCCGTGTCCAGACTGTGTTCAATAACTAATTAACAATATTATTAAGAGTTATTGTCATTAACGCTGCAGCTAACGGTTATTTTCAGTATAGATTAATGGGTAAAAAAAAATGTCTTGTTTTGTCTGTCTAACATGAAACAGGTATTAGATTGCCTTCTATCTTATTTAAGGAAGCTACTGTGAAGAATTGACGTATCAGCGTTCCTCCTGTTTGACAACATTGTGTTGTGGTTAATGACAAACAACACTTGTAGTTTTACATGGAAGCGTCACCTCGTCCCATTCATGCATCCGTATCTGTCACTGACATGGTTGGCATTGCTAAATCCTGCTTACCCTCAGCTGAATGAAGTATCTTTTAAGAGTATACAGTTTAACTCTCGGGCTCATAATGGCTTATTTGTGCCCGACCGCGTTGAATGTGACCAACTGAAGATCGTAGTGAGGAGATAGGCCCCTGCGTAGTGACAGCCGAGCCTTGTGTCAGTACAAAGCTCTCCGTTTCTTCATGAACTCGCTGAACTGTTCTGTTTCCTGCCTCTGTCAGAGCCCGCTCATCTGCTGCTCCTCTCCGAGCCGGCCTTAAACTCCAAACTAAGCTAGGGAATATCACTGCCTCCTTCCATCTGTCCTGAGAAGTTTTCACCCATCGAGATCCGGACAAGAAATAACGGCCGTAAGCCAGAGATACCAACTAGAGCCCAGCTCTTTCATTTGAAGTGGATCATTTACTGCCTGCTGCGTGCAGTATAGTTTATGATTATGAACAACTTTTTCAGCTGTATTTTTTCTTCTCTTCCCATCTCCTGTCTTTAGGGCTGCAACCGAAGATTATTTTGATTGATTAATGCTTTAATTAAAACTTGAGTAATGCTGGTTGTTTTCCTGATTAATTGGTTTTGTTTATAAAATGTCTGATGAAAGTTCCAACAGCTGTTCTTGACGTCCTCAAATGCCTTGTTTTGTCCAACCAACAGTCTAAAACTCAAATATGTTGAGTTTGCTGTCATGTATGATAAAGAAAATGCATCATATCCTCACATTTGAGAAGCCTGAACCAGCAAAATTTTGGCATTTTTTTTCTTAAGGTTATTTAATTGTTGGAATACTTACTAATTAATTTTCTGTTGATTGACTGATGGATCCTCTCTTCTATGGAAAGCCCAGAAAAAGTGAAAGATCAAAATGAGAGTTTTTGGGATGGCACATTCAGACTCACAGCTGCTTTTTCTGTTAAAGATTCCCGTTTTACTCGCACATACTCTGCACTTTTGCTCGACCTCTTTTTGTGATATCAAGTCTTTATTTCAGAGCCAGACTTGCAGTTATTTGTAGGTGTGCTATGTTGTTCATCCCGATCCCTCTTTCTCTTTCCAGGAGTTTTATGACCATGCAAAGATCCTCTGGCAGGACGAGGGTGTGCGGGCCTGCTGGGAAAGGTCCAATGAATATCAGCTCATCGACTGTGCACAGTAGTAAGTCTCATTGATTCACCTCGACTTATACACTAGCATTTAAACATATTTTCAAAGGGCTGACAAAGACGTGCTTCCCCTTTCACTCTTTGGCTGTTGAGTTCACACATCTATATATGCTAACCACAAATTCAGAGTGCACGCTGTGGGACTGTTTGGGTGTTTGGGTGTTTTGCCATGTGGTTTATGTGACTGCAAGGTGTCAAGGTTCATGAGGTGACAGTAAACGCTAGACATGAAGTTCTAATGAAGTTCTAATCTTTCTCTAGTTTGGTTCATCAGATGTTCAAATGGGGAATAAAAATTATGTTACTATTTAAAACATAAAGCTGGGAATCTTCAGTGATCGTAAATGGTATTGTAAAAAGTATTTTTTAACACCAGAACCAATAATATGTTAGTGTATCACAATACTTCTTAACTTACCCACCCTGTTGCACGGGTGTTGTTGTTATCAGCTATAGTTATTTGCAAATGTTAGCATGCTAGCACGCTAAGCTAAGATGGTAAACCCGCTTAATATCGGTATGTTAGCATTGTCATTGTGCACATATGAACATTTGACATTATCAGTCAGCTCAAATCACTGCTGGTTAAAGGACAGCCTCATAGAGCCTGACTAGAGCGGGACCGTAGACTCTTAAACAATGGAGGTCTATGGCACAGAGGAATGACTGTATCAGGCAGTGGTAACACAGGCGATGCTTGATACTTATTAGTAGGATCAGTTTATTGTCGGTGTTCGTTTTGGTCCCACATCACAGAGACGTATCCTTTAAGATTTAGTGTTGCTTGTTAGCAGATTGTCCTGGTGTATATTGAGCTGCCCTCTATTGGGTTGCATGCTAGTTAGCGGTCTTGCTAATGACCTCAAGGTTATGTGTGTATGTTGTATGTTGTTGGTGACACTCAGATTGTGTCCTAGCGCCACTGACTCCTGAATTCTTTCTTTCTTTCTTTCTTGTCCTGTATTTATATTCTTATCCACCTTTTTATCTCAGTCAGGCCTGCCTCTGTTATAAGGCATGCATTGGTCACATGAAGCCAGGGCTGTTTGAGGGTGGAGGCTTGCTCACTCTCTTCCATGTGTACAGTGTTTTCTGTACAGTATGTGCCGGTGCGTCGACATGCATGTGTGAGGTTGTCGGGTTTTTTTGAACATGTGACTTTATACAGTGCTGGAAGAAGTGCTCAGTATTTCTACTCAAGACATACTTACATTACCAGAGTGGTTAATACTGATGCATCAAATCATAAGTGACATTTTACTCTTACAGCTGGTCAGGTTGGAGACAGTCTTAACTACTTTATATTGCAACTAATGCAACTAATGTTTATTTTCATTATCAGTGAATCTGCCGATTGTTGAAATTTTTGAAAAATAGTGAAAAAAATGCTAATTACAACTTCATAGAGTCGTCATCTTTTAAATGTCTTGTTTTGTCCGACCAAAACGTCCAAAACCTGAAGACATTCACTCTAGTATCATACATGGCAAAGACAAGCGGCAAATCCTGCTATTTCTTAAGCTGCAACCTGAGAATATGCTGTGAATGACTCCAACAATTAATTTTATCAAAGTAGTTACCAATTCAACCAATCGATTAATCACCTAATCATTTTTGCTCCACTTTATTTAAGGTTCAGTGTTTCCCAACCTGTGGGTTGAGGCCCAACATAAGGCTCACAAGATAAATCTGAGGGGTCATGAGATGACTAATGGGAGAGAGAAAAGACAAAGATCTGAAATCTTCAGATTTGAGACACTTCGACCAGTGAATATTGGAATTTTTGCTTTTTGCTTGAAAAATAATATTAATTGATTATCAAAATATTTTCTGATTAATAATTGATTGCTAATCAACTAATTGTTGCAATTTTGACCTTTTAGTTCAACAAAACAGAGCTTTAGGAAATGTGGCCGTGAGAAATTCTTCATTGTTTTCTGAAATTTTATAAACCAAATGTTAATCAATTAACAATGGATATACTCTTCAGATAAATCGATAATGGAAATAATTGTTAGCTGCAGTGCTATACTTAAGTAAATGTACTAAGTTACGTTACACTGCTGACTTTGTGTGTCCTTGTAGCTTACATTGCATGCATGGCCCCGTGCATGGCCACAGGTGTTAGCTGCTTATTGTATGTGTCCTGCAGTATGTTTTTGGAGGCAGGGGGTTCATGCTGTCTGTAAGATGATCATGAAAAACCTTACTTGTAAAAAAATGAAAAAATGTGATTGTGGACAGACAGTTGCGAGCTAATGGAGAGACAGAACGACTGAAAAAGAGAAAGGACTGAAGAGACAGATTGAAATAGAGACAGAGAGGGCTTCCCTGCATTGCGGGATCTCTCCTCTCTTCTCCTCTCCTCTCCTCTCCTCTCCTCTCCTCCTCTCTCCCACACCCAGCAGCCCCAGTGTTATGGATCAGATGCTGGGCTGGGTGGCCAGACCGGAAGTGCTCCCCTCCCCCCTCTGTGTGCTTATGTAAACGGAGAAGCAGAGAAAGAGAGAGGGGAGAGCTATTTTTAACCCAGGCAGGCTGCAGAAGGAGAAAGAATGAGAGTGTGTGTTAGGAGAGAGGCAACTTCAGCATTATTGATGAAGGTTGTTAGCATTAAATGAAAATGTCAACCCTCGATCAGGGCGGGAAAAGTCAAGGCCACCCCTCTCCCTTTAAAAAAAAAAAAACAACAAATAATAATATCATCCGGTTCATGTCATGATGAAGATTTTAAAAAAAGGGAAGAAGAAGTTGATGGAGCACTGATGTTTTTGTTGTCTTTGATGAGAGGGAAGTCACTGAAGCTTCCCTGAAAGTCTTTTTGCTCTGTCATACTCCTGTATGATGGTTTTTTTGTTGTTGCTGTTTTAACACCTCCTGACACATTTTATAGTTTTCGTTAGTGAGGACGTTTGTTGTCCTTGATCACATGTGGATGTGTTGAGTTCAGACGCTGCTGGATAGGTTGCTGTAACTGTTGGAAATTCACATAACTAAGTCCAAACAGTGTGACTGTGTCCCCTAACAGTGTGACAGAGGCGAAGGGTTTGTTTTGTCCCAGAAGACGAGGCCTGTTTGTCAGGTTTCTATGTTTGGATATCTGTATGGATACACAGAGATCCTGAAATATTTGCGCATTCCTCTCAATTGTAAATCACATCTGAGATCCTGAGAAGAAATTTTTCCTCACAAGGAATCATCTATAGCACATCACTATGAAAATGATTTTAAAAACCTTTAAACATTAAAGACTTGCAGACTTTTGTTTTTGTATATGTAATATACATTAATCATTTTTAAACTAAACTATTTTACAAATGAAGACACGCTGCAGAGTCGTAGTTGGGAATCAGGATTTCAAAAAACGCATGCAAGAATTGGTTAATGCATATTTAGCATTAAGAAATTGAATAAATAAAACTGTTGAATAAATCTGTCCTAAAGATGTGTTATATCAAATAAAACATCTGACACGTAAGCACTAAAGAAATGAAATACACCATGTTAGTTAATGACTTCAATAGGTGCTGGTTGTCAGATTTTGTTACAGGCTAGCTGTTTCCCCCTGTTTCCAGTCTTAGCAAGCTAAGCTAGCCATCTGCCAGCTGTAGCTTCATATTTGGCATCAATCTTCTCATCAGTCTCTCTGCAAGAAAGCAAACAAGTACATTTTCCCAAAATACCAAACTATTCCTTCAAATGTGGCATATACACAAAGCAAAATAAAGGCAAACAATTGGCCCAAGAGGAACTTGTGAAAGTTGCACATGATTATGTTTTTGCAGACAGTGAACAAAGTTATGTGAAAGGAGCCTGTTAACATGCATATGTCCTTTACAGCTTTTCAACTGTCTGCCATAGAAAATACAGAGCAAAGTGACAGTGTTTTTTTTTTTGTCTCAAAAAGTGTTGAAATTAGTTTAGGAGTCTTTCGTTTCATTTACAAAGGTCTTGAATATTTTTCTTGCTGTAGACAGACATATGTTATAACTTATTTTTAATGTGGCTGTGGGCCGTCAGGAGACTTTACACATCTATAAACTACAAGCAGGACTGATGCGAGAGTGCTTTGTGCATGCGGGAGGCAGTTATTACATATTGTTATAATGATATTACTATTATTATTATTACTGCTAGCCACTGTAGCTGATAAGGTCATCAACTCTTAATTGGCAAATTTCAATTTTAGAAAAAACTTTATTTTGTGTTAACTGGTTAATGTACATCAATCAGCCGAGAAGCACTGACAAAAATGTGATAAACATGTCAATAAAGTCATATAATTAATACATAATGATAGACCTTATTGCCCCCACTGGTGTGAGTGTGAAAAAGTCTTAAGACAGCTTGGTGATCGCTGCAGAAAACCTATAAAGGGGAAGATGGGAAGACAAATTCAAATCGATGGTATACTGTATATCATCTTATTGTGTTGCCCAACCGTACAGTCGATTAACTCAAAAGTCATTTATCGAGCAACAATGCCAAACATCGATTGGTTTCACCTTCTCAAATATGATTTTTTCCTTTCTCTGTTTTGTTTGGATCCAAAACCCAAAGACACAAACTGTTTTGTTGGTGACTTGTGGAGGATGTTCTGTTGACATTTTATATAGAGTAAAAATGTAGTTATTTGTAGTTATTTGGAATAGTAATATATCATCAATAAGAAAATAACCCTTATTTAGGGGACCCATTTTACTGTAGTAGCCTACAGGACTTGCCTTACTGGGTTAATGTATGGGGCGAATCCATTTGGTATCCCCCTCTCTAACCAGCTCTTTAGATAAAACTGAAGTATGTGTCTGTTTTACAGAAACCTGAACCTGAGAGGAGGAACGTGACGGAACGTCTCCATACGTTCTGTATCTGTGTCTGTTTGCGTTATGTGTCGCCTGGCTGTGATATCAGCCGAGCGTTACCGCCGTGTTTATTATCTGTTGATTCTCTGAAATCTTGTCCCTGCGATAATGTGCCGTCATGTGCCGGAGT